GTAAACCTTTAGTGCTTTTTCTTAATGTGAATCTGTCTTTACTGTAAATCTTCATCTTTTTCTGGCCATGAGTCTTTTATCTGATAAACAACAACATTGCTAAAATGAAAGTCATAGCTGTGTTAGCCGCAATCTTATCCAAGATGGCAGCAGCTATTTTACCACCTGCACTGAGAGCTGTGCTCACTGCCTTGGTCTTCGCTGCCATCCAGCAGCATGTTGCCGGCTTGGAGATGTGGTCACTGCCATTGCCAGCTCTCGTATGCACCAATAAATTGTTAGCAGTGCTTTTTTAAAGCCTTGAGGTTTTTTGCCGTTTATGCTGAGTTAGGAAATCTCCCTTAAAGGAGCAGCACAAATCTCTGCTTGAATCTAGCAAAAGAGTTCAACTGGGAAAAATGCTGTTACCAAGAAGCCTTGCTTTTGTCTGGTTTTTTGTTTGTTTGTTTGTTTGTTTTGGTTTGGTTTCTAAAACCCTTTTTTAAGCTTTTGTTAAGTTTTAATTGGAAGTTCTTATTAGCCACGTTGCAGCACCATAAGTTACGTTCTTTCTTATTTTCATGTCTTTCATTTCTTTCTCTTGGGAAATTGCCCTGGCTTAAACCTCTACTGGTATATTGAAGGAGAATGAGAGTATAGCCCACTCTTTTGTTCTGGCTCTTTGGGAAACCTTTCTCAGTCAACATAGTGCTTTGGCTGGGGTCTTTGTATATAGATTTGCTACTTTGAAGTATGAGCCTTCTATACTTAAACTGTTCAAGGATTTATCAGGAAGGAATGTTGAAATTAAGCAAATGACTTTCTGCATCCATTCAGATAATGATACAACTTTTAATACTTCTTTGTTTTTGTTTTGTTTTCAGAGACAAGGTTTTTCTGTAGGCTGTCCTGGAAACTTGCTTTGTATACCAGACTGTCCTTGAACTCAACAAAGATCCACCTGCCTCTGCTGGGATTAAAAGCATGCACCACTACTGCCCAGCTATACTTCATTTTATAGATAAAAGTACCACATTCACACTAGTTTCTGAATGAACCAGCCTTGAATCCCTGGGATAAAAATAACTTAGCCACAGGGTATGGCCGATTTGGTGTGCTGTTGAATATGATTTGCTAATATCTTAAGAATTTTTCACCTATTACTATCATAGTCTATAGTCTGTTTTTCTTATGTCTTCTCCAGTTTGGGTAACAGAATACTTGCCTCATACAATAAGTTAGGAAGGGTTCCCTCACTTGGAATCTGTGGAATAGTTTGAGAAAAATCATTATTTGTTCTTCTCTTAAAATATGATGAGAACCCATCTGACCCTGAACTTTTCCTCACTGGGAGATGTTTTACTACTGACTCAATTTTGTTACTTGTTATTTGTATAATTAGGTTTTTTTTAAGTTTAATTGATAAGCAATGGCTAGAAAATGGTTTCATACCTATTAGATTTTATAAAATGTTTTACATAGTTTTCCATATTAATTTCTAATAGTTTTGTATTTTTACATTCTCATTCCCAATCTTAACATTATTTTTGTGAATGATTTTCTTGTTTTATCAGTTAGTCTAACTAAAGATTTGCCAATTTTATTTATCTTTTCCTGAAACCCATTTTTTTTTCATTTTTCTTTATATCTTTTTAGTCTCTTTCATTTACTTCTCTGATTTGGCTGTTTCCTCCACTAATTTCATGTCTCATTTGTCCATAATTAAATTTATGCTGAGTTCTTCAGTTTTTACATGTAAGCACTCTTGCTATAGAGTTTCTTTTTCAAAAATAAAGTTTCTTATGTTTTTGGCATAGTATATTCCCATTTCATTTTCCAAAAAATTCTTTTATTTCCATGGTTACCTACCATACATCCAAAATGTGCTGGCAGACACCAGTATTTGTCTACATTCTGAAATTCCGTTTGTTTCTGTCTTTTCAGTTTAGTCCATTGTAATCATAACTACATAAAATATTATTTCAATCTTAATTAATAGGCCGATGCACATTTATTTGTATTCTAAGATTGGATACTCCAACATTAAGTAGAAGAAAGGTCTATGATCTTTTGAATTGACCCCTTGATCACATATAATGACTGTTTTGGTCTTTCTTCTAAACTCCACTCAAACCCTATCTTGTGAGATGTAATGATAGTGATACCTATTTGAAATACTGTTTTACAACCTTCTGCTGTCAGTCATGTTTCTTTACTGCTAAAGTGAATTTCACTGAGACAGCATGCTGTTGTGTAGCATGAATTCTAGTTGGTGTTAATAATAAAAACCCAGAGACAAATTGGGGTTAAAGCTGAAGATCAGATTAGCAAAGGGCTCTCACCTCTACCAATGCTCAGGCAGAAAGGGTGATCCTATCCGGACTGCACTGCTCTCCACCTAACCTCAGTCTCCTCCTGCCTTACATTCCTCTCTAGTGCTGGATTAAAGGCATGGGATCCTAAGTGCTTGGATCTCCTTTATGTGAGCTCTGTTTCTCTTTTAGACTGGATCAATTTCGTGTAGTTCAAGGTGGCCTTGAACTAACAGAGATCCATCGTCCTCCTGAGTGCTAGGATTGAAGGTACATGACTACCCACTGTCTAGCCTCTATGGCTGTGGCTAGCTCTGCACTCTGATCTTCAGGCAAGCTTTATTTGTTAGATCATAAACAAAATATCACCACACTGTTGAGTCTTACTTTTTATTCCATTCTTCTACTTTGTATTTCCATCTCTGGTTCTTATAAATAGTTAAGACTTCTTTCCATCTTTGTCTTATTTTACTTCCAATAATCTCAAACTTTTTAAATTTTCTTCTTTTCACTTGTGGTTTAATGATTTACTGTGTGGATAATGATTGATTCAGATATTTAAATTTAAAACCAATGGTTTGTCACTTTGGGTATAGTATACCCTTAAGAATTTTTACTCTTGTTGTGTTGTATATGTGTACATATATACATGTGTGTATGTGTATATGCATATATGTATATGTGCATGTGTATGTTAGTGGGGGATATAGAGACTTGTACATGCATATGTAAAGACTAGAGGTTACTGTAGGTTGTCCACCTCATTTTTTTATTTTTCATGTATTATTTATGTGTGTTGCCTGTGTGACTTTATCTTGCTTGTTTTATTGCATTGTAGCCCCCTTTTATCACTAAATTTTTTACCATTTAAAATAGGTTTTTAAATTTAAATATATTGACCATATTCTTCCCCCTCCCCCAAATTCTTCCAGTTCTTCCCCCACCAACCCAACCTTAAGTATTTTCACACACAAAAAAAATACAATAACCCCCTATCAATAACACATACACACACACACATACACAAAAAGGGAAAACAAAAGAACACCAGACTGTAGCCAAATAAAAGCACACTCATGTGTGCACGGGCACACACACATACACACAAACTTTGGAGTTCATTATATGTTGTTCAACTACCTATGAACATGAGCAGTCTGTCCTGTGGTGATTGATAAACCCAGTGTCACTATTTTTTAGGCAGAGTCTCTCATTGAAAATGGAACTTACCAACTCTGATTTATCTAGATTGGCTGGCCAGGAAAGCCCCTCACACACACACACACATATCCTCCTCTCCCTGTGCCCCTATCACTCCCATTATAAAATTACATGTCCATGTCACCAAGGCCAGCTTCTTATATATAGGTACTGGGAACCCAAACTCAGGTGACTCTGTATGCCGCGGGATGTAACAGTAATAAAGCTTATGCTACATACCTGTTTTCCTTCCAGTTTAGTTTTGATGTGCTGAGGAAGAAATATATGAGCACTTCCCAGTAAAAACACTGAATGTTAAGTATCTAATGAACTTTGACTTAGCAATCATATGGGTTCATTAAAAGTGTATATATGGCTTGTTGGAGAATATAAGAACTGATGGTATTAATATTAATATTCAACAATATTAAATAATCCCAAACTGCTAGGGAACATAAGATTAATAATATGCTTCCTGATCTGGATATTAGTGTTTCTCTGACCTTTAAGGTACCAAACACAATGTACAAGTATTGAGCATCTAATAATCAACACTTTCACCAGTGAACTGTGACATTTGACTGATAAGCTACTTCTACTGGGACACCATTGAGCTTCCGCAAGCTTATCACCAGCAGGAATTTAGAGTAATAAAGACCTACAGTATTAGCTGATTAAAATTAAATTGGCAGAGAGTAGGTCACTCTGCACTAAGGTCAAGTCTGAGGGACCCATTTCCTCAGCTGCAGAGAAGACCACTGACTGGAACCCTACCCCAGGAATTCCTTTGCTGCTTGGCCCAAGGTCACATCCCTCTTTAGGATGACCATAATCAGTAATTGCCTCAAGATACCTCGTAAGGGGCATTCCAGCTTCAGCAATGCCTTCAAGGACAATCTGAGACTGTGTAATGATCTTTGCAGCAAGCCCACTTATGACAGGTACAGAAAGAACCTAGGAGTACTCCCCCATCAACTTTCTACCTGCAAAAATCTCTACTGCAAAGTCTGAGTCAGCTAAGAATGGAAATCCTGAGTACAACAAAACTGAAGCTTATTCCATCCCAGCCTTACCACCCACATGTCCCTGGTTCCTCTGCAGAGAAGCCGCCAAAAGCACATTCCCAGACACACTGCATCTGAGAAAACTGTAGGGAGAACCAGCAATGTGATCACTTGCAAGAGATGATCTTTATATGTTCAGGCTACGGCCTATCTTTGGATTTAAAAACATGGTGACAATATTAGCTTCAAGCAAGGAACTCAAATCTGAGAGCACAAAGACTTTGTTCTTAAGCACAGCACTAGTCTAGTGGTGGGAAATTAGTACATACTGGGAAATTCGTGAAATACAGGATATCAATGAAGAGAAGGAAAAGAAATATGTGAGATGAATGTTAAAGTGGCTTTTATTCATTCAACTTTCCTTTCAACATACTAATGCGATTACAAATTCTAAAGAAACCAGACTTGGTTGAAATTTTTTTTATTAAGATACAGATCTATGAACAGAACAATTCACTTGCTAGCTAGATTACAATTCCTTGTAAAAATAATATGTGAAAAATTAGTAGAAAATGAAAATCCGAAAGTTACCTGAAATCTGAAAATATTAAGCGATTTCTGCTGCATGTTACTGTTGATCACTTCACAGAATATTGGAGCATAATTGGGCAGAGAGTATTTAATGATTCCATTTTTGTTAAGAGCACAGTGGACCTTTCAGAGCTTGGCATAGTCTTTAAGAATCATCTGAAGCTTCTGGCTCAGCATGATGTTCCCTCTGGCCTTCAGTCTGCCGTTGAAGAAGGCCTGCAAAGGGACAGGGAAAGAGCGCCAACCATCAACCTTGCACTTGATCTTTTTCCAAAAAGGCAGCTGTTCAGAATGACAGCAGGTGAATTAGATACTGGACAGCAGGTGAATTAGATACTGGACAACAAAGGTGGCTTCAGCCTAGCTGTAATTTAACAGTTATGGATAGCACATTCCATTTTACCTAAGAAAAAAGACTCCTGTGTGTTTAGACTAAGTTATCTGACTTGACTGGAGATTCTGTTTGAAACTGCACTTCCGGCTTTATTATTACTCATGGGTTTGAGAATACATGGATACAAGACTATACTGCATTCTTTCATAATACAACTGTTCTACTCAGAACTTGGAGAGCAGACGTTAATTACATCTCCATCACACAGAGGCCACATAATGTCAAAATAAGATGGTATCGAGGTATGCTGAACAGATAACACAGGAACACTGGGGTTAAGTCCAGACTCTGCCACTTATTAGCAGTGCTAACTTGGGGAAACCACTCCATCTACGAAAACTTGAGACAGCAGCACTGAAGTGACATACCTTTGTCATGTGAGCTAAATAATGTGCAGGGTGTATGAAGCCAAGCAGAAGACCGATGTGTTAAATCAATTCTGTAAACGCTCAACACTTTAACATTCCTAAATCTTGCTAGAATCTAGGTGTTTCTACATGTAAATATTTTAACTTTCTCCTGTCCTGTTTTTTCTTCCCTTCCCTGCCCTCCCTCTACCCTTCCCATTCATACTCTTGGCTCTTTCTGTCTCTCAAATTTATAGTCTCTATTTAACTGTTGTTACACACATACACACAAAGTCTATTCCTAAATATATAAACACAATCTGCTCAATCCATATAATGTTACTTGTATGAATGTTTTCAGGCCTGACCACTTGGTACTGGATAACTCTCGGTACTGGATAACTCTCGGCATCCCTTAGTTGCCTACAGTTCTTTCTGTATGGCTGAGGCCCATGAGATTCCCCCTCCCATGTTAGCATGTCTGTTGGTATTCAATTCATAGGCATGGCCTATACATGTTTTTTATTTCTTTCTGGTGCCCATGTGTTCTGGCTAATACTATTATTACTTAAGTGTGAGGTAGAGTAACACTCAGGTACTGCTCATGATGATAAATGCTTTTAGCTTTTCCCCATTCTGTGTGATATTGTCTGTAGGTTTGTCATCCTTTACTATGCTACAGTTTGATCCTTCTATAATTTGATTGGGGCTCATATTATCATAAAAGGTGTGTAGCATTTTATCAAATGCTTTCAAGAATTTATAGACAACCATATCATTTTCCCCTTCATTCTAAGTATATATTGAATAATCTCGCATGCTTGAGCATAAAATACATCTTCCCGCCCCCCCCCCAATGGCTGTGTGTGTGTGTGAGAGAGAGAGAGAGTGTGTGTGAGTGTGATCACTCAGATAAACACACAAGCTGTTGAGTTTGCTTTGCTAGTGTTTTTGTTGAGCATATTCCATGTTTACCTGGGAAAATGATGAATGCATGTGTGTCCTGTAGGGTCCAAGTCACACAGCGGTGCTGTCCTCACCGATGAGTCTGGAGGACTCCAACCCTTACAAGTACTGGCATTGGTTCTTGTTTAAAAGTAGGGTAAAATTCACTGGTGAAGTAATCTGTCCTGGGTTTTTCTCTCTTATTAGAAATTTTATTGATGATTACCATGTACTTTATAGCTTAATATTTTGTCTAGAGAAAGTTCCATATGCTACTGAGAAGAAAGTGTAATCTGTGCCTGTTGGGTAGCCTGTAAATGTTATTTGATCTATTATATAGTATATCTATGGTAAAGTTACCTCTGATTTATTTCTATCAGTTCACTGTTGTATGGGGTGTAGAATTTCCTATCTTTCCTTTTAGTCTAACAGTATGTGTTTTCTAAAACTCAGTGGTCCAATATTTGACACACATTCGTTCATAATCATCCCGTCTTTGATGAACTGGCCTTTGGTCACTGTACAGTGAACTTCATCTACTTTTGTCTACATTGTCAGATGTAAATATAACTATACACATTGCCACTCAACATTTCTGTTTACTTCAGGATGTCATCTTACAATTTTTCTTTAAATTCATTTTGGGATTTTACTTAGTAAAATGAGTTTCTTGTAGGCAGAACATTGTTGGACCTTAATCCATATCTTCTAGTTGGCAAATTACAACCATTTATATTTGGCAACTACTGGGTGCTATAAATTTTTCTTCTAGTTTTTGATTTTTCTGCTCACTTTTTTCCTTATATTGCTTGATAGTTGGTGGTTGACTCTACTAACAATGTTTTATCCTTTCATATGTCTGCTCGTCTAATAGGTCTTACACCTTCCTAACTCCTCACATTATCTCCTTTCCACCTCTAGGTATGATACTCCCTTCAGCACCTCTGTACTCCTGGTGCCGTGGGTCTTCCATCGCCTTCATTGTTGCTTACAGTTCCTCCAGTTCTGAAGGAGAACTTCACTTGACACTGTAACCTTGGTTGACAGTTATTTCTTTTCAGGCCTTGAAATGCATTGCTTCCATACTCTCCTGCCTGTAGTGTTCCTGCTCAGAAGTCTGTTGTCAGTTCAATAGGGCTGTTGACAACTTGGCACTTTCTCAGGTTTAAAGAATCCTCCTTCATCCTATAGTTTGACAGTCTGACTATCACGGTGACTATTTTTTCTGGTCACACTCATTTGGGAACTCTGAATCCTGTATCTGGATGCTCATGTCTTTCTCAACATTAGGGGAATTTTCAACCACAATTACACTGGATAGTTTCTATGTCTGTAACCTTAACTTCTAAGTATACTGATGCAGAAGTCTGATCTCTTCATGGTTCCCACACATACTGAGTCTTTTAATTTTTTTTTTTCTATCTGAATGTGAAAGCCATGTCTTCAAGCTAATATTCTCTTTATACTTGTTCTATTTGGGAGCTTTGACTAAAGTTTTTATCTGCATTATTGAGCTCTTTGTTTTCCAAGATTTCTTCCTATTTGCAGAACATCTCATTTATATCCTGCACATACTCCTAACTTCATTCAGCTATGATATTTTGAGCTCTTTTGTTTAAAAGATTGATTGGTTGATTTATTGTGTTTATGTGTACCGTATGTGTACAGATGTTCAAAGAGGCCAGAGAGCCTCTTAGAACTGGTGGTATTACAGGTGACTCACAGCCACCTGACATGGGTGCTGGAAACTGAATCTGGGTCCTCTCCAGTAGTAGAGAGTGTTCTTAACCACTCATCTCTGTAACTCCATCTACTTTAGCATCTTTAGGATCCATTATTAAAGCGCTGCATAGGCAGAAGGTATCATATGTGATCGTAGAATAGATATCCCTATCATGAGATGGCCTTCTTAGAAAGCAAATTTCTCCTGAAAATGTTTCTTGGGATACTGGTTTGTTATATCAATTTGAGTTTGGCACCATGGGTTCTTGTAGATAATCTTGACTATCACTAGTGTTTGAGCAGTATACAGACCTACTATCTCTACAGATTGTGCAAGAGTTAGGGGAACTCAAGCAGTTCAGATGGGTGTGGTCTACACAGCAGAGTGGGTGTACACTGTGTGTAAATATGAGAGCGGTGACATCTGTCAGGGGCATACATTAACTGTTAACACTGGCATTGTTATTTGAAAGAGTCTCTGACTGGCTGCCCTACTAGTAATGAGGAGCCTGAAGCAGTGGCCCTGGCACAAGTCCAAGTGTTTCACAGGAGAGACACACTTGGTTGTAGTCACATTTAGTTTTGTCAGTATCCCAGATCCTTAAGGCAGAGGAGCAGCTGATGCAGGAGGCCCACAAGGTGTGGCAACAAAAGCCCCTAGTTGTGCTCCCTGAGAAAGGAAACAACAACCAAGATTGGCTCTGTTGTTTGTTCCCAATTCTTAGTGGTAGCTCTCACCAGGAATTGAGTGGAAGTTGCATTTCTGACAAAGTTTCAAATTTTGAAAATAACTTACAAACAATTTATATAGCATATAAGTATATAGCTTTTAAGCAGGTTTTCTTCAATTCTTTCATCTCATGAGTTTTGCTACTATTTGGAAGTTGTTTATTTACTTCTACATTCAAATAATTGTCTGAGCCCATTCATCATTAGAACCAATAGTTTCAGAATAATATTAACAAGAGTCACAGAAGGCCCTCCTGTCTTAAGGATGATTTCCACTGAAATGCCTTAAATGCTTCAACTTCAGTGATAACAATGACTATTAGTTTAATATCCTATTTCTAGCTTTCCAATGAGTTATTAATACTTTATATGGGCTGAATGTCACTAATACAAAACTAATTTCCTAGAAAAGCAAATCAAGATTTTATTTTTGTTTTATTGGAGCATTTACTTTGGGATTAGTAAAATCTCTGCAAATGTCCCCAAATCCACTAGCTAAAAGTTGAAACACATCAGACATTACGAGTAAGACTCAACTTGTATCACATACAAGTTTTACACCTCAAAGTATAACTTCAAATGTCTAGTATGGGTTTTATATTGTTTTTAGTAAAATAGTAAACAGGACCTACACCACCCCCCCCCCAAAAAAATCTTTCCAAAAATGACTGAAGTAGTAATTTCAAAAGTATGACATACAAAAGTATGTACATACAAACTTTATAAATGAAAATCTTCCGAACACTACCTTCTGCGGGTCAAGCTTGCCCAGGACCACTTCCATGAAATCCTCATCCGAAATTATGATAGTTGTATCAGCGGAGCCTTTGGCAGGGCCTTTATACACTTCTCCAGAGCCATTCTTCAGGTCGATGGCTAGGAAAAAAAGAAAATAGCATGTGTCACTTTTTTCTCAAATATCACAGCACAGAAAGTGAACAAAAATGGAAACTGTTATAGTTTCCAAGGTAGGCAATATCCATGTACTCTACACTTGTTCTCCTTCTAGAACATGTACTTAAGGTCATGTAGAAAAGTTTTGTTATTGTTCAAATGGGACTCACCAGGTAACCAAGACTGGCCTTGAACTCACAGCAATCCTCCTGCAGTGTGCACCATCAGGCAGAGCTTGTAACTCTTTTAGATGCTACTTTATTTTATAAAGTTCTTTGAAATGGTTGAGTCAGTAACAGTTTTTTTCCTTAATGAAGCATTTCATGATAGAAATATTCATATTAATATGAATTAAATGTAGAACAAGTTATTAACAAAAAGTGAAGATTGCTCTAATGTAACTAAGGCCTTTGAACTGTAGTCAGCAAAGAATTTCAGTTAATTGGTTAACATGCCATGACACTCAGAACTGACTTTCCCTTTTCCAGCAGAAATCAACTGCAATTGCAAACATCTTCTTGGGCATGGTGGCACACACCTTTAATCTCAGCATCTGGAAGGCAGAGGCAGGTGGATCTCTTTCTGAATTGAGGCCAGTCTGGTCTACATAGTGGGTTTCAAAACATCCAGGGCTATGTAGAAAGACACTGTCTTAAAAAGAAAGAAAGAAAGAAAGAAAGAAAGAAAGAAAGAAAGAAAGAAAGAAAGAAAGAAAGAGAGGGGGGGAGAAAGAGAGAGGGAGAAAGAGAGGGAGAGAGGGGGAGAAAGAGAGAGAGAGGAGAGAGAGAGAAAGAGAGAGAAGAGAGAGAGAAAAGAAAGATAGGGGTGGAACTTTGCATCCACTTCCCCTTCTCAGTGCTTGGAACTCCACCCACCCACACACACAGGCACACACATCTGGTATGAACCTGTGCAGGCCTCGTGTGAGCTGCCAGTCTCTGAGTTCATACGTGCATCATCAGTCCTGTTGTACCTGGAAGACAGTTTCCTTGAAGTCATCCATCACCTCTGGATCTTAGAACCTTTCTAAGAGCCTTCCTACTCTGCATAGATCCCTGAGCCTTGGGGGCAGGGGAGGGGTTGATGAAGTCAGTCATCCCATTTAGGACTGAGTGTTCCAGAGTCTCTCACTCTTGGTGCATTGTCCAGTTGTGGGTCTCTGCGTTTATTACCATCTCCTGCAAGATGGTATGATGTTCATTATTTTAACTAGCTTCTCTTCCGTTATCAAACTTTTGTAGAAAGGCTAACTGTCCCAGGCACAGGCTTGGTAGTCGATAATGCTAATCACAAGTTTAACTGCACTGCTGTCTGTAACATAGAACTTCACCAAAGCTACAGTGGACAGTCTGAGTTGTCTCCCTACGATTGATATCATGCCCACAGGAAAACCAGTCAGCATCTTCAGGGTCAGTCTCATGACACTGGGGTCAGGGTTGTTGCAGCTGTTACCAACCCTCCTAGGGGATGTAAAGAACTTCCAAATTCCACAAGGCAAGCTAAAGGTCCATAAGAACATCCACAGTGCTTAACTACTTTTCTGTTAGCAAGGGTTTAAAAAAGAAGTGAGCCAACCCCAGCCTCTACAGACAAGAATTCTTCCAAGCAAGCAAACACAAATCTTAGTGTTAAAGTTTCCAGTGTGACTGTTAGACAAGGTTTCAGAGGCACTAAGGTTATAACATGAAGAACAAAGGCCCTATTCTTACTGGGACTTCCATAAATTACACTTTCAGTGTGTATTATTTCTATCCAAAAAGAAAGGTAATGAAGGGAGAGGGTATGGAAAAAGTTTAAAGGAAAACAAACCTCTGTCAGCCAATATACTTATCATCTATGGTTTTAATTCTCCACATCTCTGTCCAAGCCCCATTGTGGGGGGTATACATAAAAATTCTGCTCAGCACTGGGCAGTGCTATTGAACACCTTTAATTCCAGTACTTGGGAGGCAGGTGGATCTCTGTGAGTTCAAGGTCAGCCTGGTCTACAGAGCAAGTTCCAGGACAGCTAGGACTACACAGATAAACCCTGTCTCCAAGAAAAAAAAAAAGTTCCCCTCAGTAATAAGACTGTACTTTGCACACATTGAGTCTCCTGATCCACAACAAGCCATGGTTGTTCAGCCACACTTTCCCTCAAACTTATCTACTCACCATCTGCAGACGTGAGACTTGAAACTGTGAAATACTAATAGCTGCACTTATACAAGATGGAGCTTTTAGCAAGACTATAGACATTCGGGATAAAGGAGCAAAATACTCAAAGTGTACCGGGGCTTTGGTGTATGTGGGAGAAGCATCCACTGGAATCATTTAGAATCCAGATACATGAGGTCACTACTAGTCTTCTGTAGGAATAGTTTATTGTGTTTGAGTGTTATTGTGTTATCAGTGCATCTCTAAAAGAGTGCAGGAAAATTTCAGCTAGAATTCCTTGCCTTTACAGGAAGGAGTGAGGTAAAAATCACAAAAGGGGCCATGGGAGAAAAAAATGTGCTGCTTTTGCCTCCTATGCCTAGGATGGTGAGGTCTTTGTGAGCATAAACCCATCCTGTCACCTAATCCCATACACTTGTTTGAAGAGAAAGTATTTAGGAAGTGTTAAGGGAGTGCGCGAGTGAAAGGACATGAGAAAGGCTCTCTGTGCCCTTAAAGAGTAGCAGCAAATGAAAAACTTTCATACAGTAGCCAGGCTGTCCTCAACTTCATGGGTTATCCTCTACCTCTGCCTCCTAAATACTAGGGTTATAGAAGGGGGCCACGACTCCCTGCTAAAACAGAAGAAGAAAATGAGACATAGCAAGGACACAGTATTTTCCTACCATTCTTTCCAAAAAATCATAAATATAATCATGAATAATATCAAATAAATACAAACTAGAGAATATTTTCAAAATAACCTTTCCAAAACATCAAGATGATAAATAAGACAATGTATCCAGACGCCAGCAGCTAGGAACTTAACAACTGCATGCAAAGTGAGCAGCAGACGGTGAGCATTCATCCCCTCTCTCTTCATTTCTACTGTTGCTACTATTGCTGTTATTATTCCTTTGCTTTAAACGACACTATTGGGACAAATGGTGAAACATTAATAAGGTAGGAGAGTAGATAAGAACAGTGTATAAATGTTAACTTCCTGACACTGATAGCCACTCTGTGGTCAGAAATTGTCTCCATTCTTAGAATAATAGAGTAGCCTTCACCCTTACAATACCAAGTCTCCAAGTTACTCTTAAGTACATATACTTTTACAAAATGAGATAAAATTTTAAGAATTCGAAGTGCTAGATGAAAGATAACTGTTACTTTATTGCAAATGTGTTAGAACATGTTGCATACAGAGAGTGTGATGGCCTATGAAGTAGTGCTGTTCTGTGGGCATGAAATCAGGAACTATGCTGGATAGCAGGGGCTGTCTCTGTTCTGATGACTTGATAGCAGATTCTTTCCAAAGACAATTTGTTTTCTTGACATTCATGAGACTGCTGAGTCTCAACCCAGCATCTTTAAGTTTTAGTGTATAGGCCTGTTGAGCTGGCATATGCATATATCCAACCACTTAGGAAGTAAAGGCAGGAGAGTTTCTGGTTTGAGGCCAGCCTGGGCTATGAAGCAAGACCTCACCTCAAAAGATAAAACAATTTATGTTTAAGCTGAAAATTCTTAAAGGATTTTGACTTCAGAAGATGAATTCCAAGCCAGAGTTCATAGATTCTGATTAAATTGGCTTCCTCAAGAAGGTTTGGATTATCTGTAAGCAATGCCAGTTCTCAAATCTCTATACTTCCTTCCACATGGTGACAACTTTGCAACATGTATGAACGTTAACATTCAAAGAGCATCATCCTGTCACCGTCCTATAGTGCACAAGAGATGCCTGGATTCGGGTCAGATATGTAGTTAGCTGGACACTTAATTACAATATGCATCATTAAAACTCGGCTAACTCACTTCACCAAACAATATTCAAACAAAAACGCATACGATCTATATGGTCTTTATCTCATTTTCATATCATGTAAAAGATTATAGATATGAGATGGGAGAGAAACCAACCTGCTCCAGGCCATTTGCTTAAACCTATCACTCCAAGGAATATAGAGCACATCATGTTCAACAACATGGTGTCTTTAGATATAGGAAGTACTGGTAAACAATTTCAATAATTTGAATGTATCCTATAACTATTCCAGCAACAAACAAATTACTTAGAAACATTTGTGTATTGTGTCCTTAACATTACAATTAATTATACAATGGAAATGTGTTAGGAAATCCTATGTGAATAGGAATGGCAGACAATTCTCCACCACCACAGTTTCATTCCATCTTCTTCTTGTACGACCTTATCAAGGTGGCAAACCTAATCAACTCTAATCCTAGCATCACAGTTCATCATTTTCTCTCTACAAACCCGTACCGCTTCCCTGTTCTGCTGTTCCAGTAATAAGTTAGTCACTGTTCTTAAGAGTACAGGTCAAAACCTCAGTTTTAACCCAGATGTCTTAGTTTCTTCTGATATTCAGACATAAGTGGTGCTCAAGGAAGTGAGTTCTAAACAATGGCTTCACATTAGTCCTTTCCCCTTCTCTCTTTTCTCTCTCCTCTCCATTATTATCATGACTTTAATTTTAGGTCTACCTTTCTCCCAGTCTTTTCACACCCATCCTTTCCAACCCAGTAGGGGCCATGACACGTAAATACTGAACTCCTCACTGAATGAAGCAACTGTCCCACCCTCTTCAGAGAAAAGCTCATCTTTTCCAGGCCTCTGTCACCTGTGTTCCACATGCGCATGTGCAGGTCTGTAACTCTGAATCTCAATTTTCATCCTCTGTTTTGGATTCAGAATTGATCTGATTTTTAGTAAAGTTGAATTAGGAAAGATCCCCAATGATGCAACACTGTATGTTATTTCTCCACTCTACTGACATTGGTGAAGTAAATAAAGACAGTGATAACCACCTAGGCTGGGGTCAGGTTTTGTTAGCAGTGAGTTTTCTACCTTCAAATCTGTCTGCTTCCAAATTTCAGATCAGAATAACTGCTTTAATTTCCAGCCACAGATGATTCTGAAGCTTCCTGCTATTTCTTTCTTTGTTGTACGATGCTGAGAATGCTCTGCACAGCAGGCATTCCCCAACTTAAGCCACTTTATTCTGCCAACTTTCATTCCTCTAAACTTTACTGTTAACAGAACACTGGAATAGGACCCAAAGAGCTTACCAAACAATTTTTGGAAGGTTTTAGAAGTTAACAAATATATAAATATGATCATTTCTAGTAAAAATGTTTCAGTGGTACATTTCACCACTAAAGAAAAAGACAGGGCACCATCTACACAGTAACCTTACTGAACAGAAAAAAACATCCATTTCGTTCTTCTAAAAGGACAACGACCTCATCCCTCTAAACCGTGACTCCTATATGGCTTTTAGCACTTACCAGCGTGAGGCTGTACAAACTGAGTATGCACTACAGACCTAACTAGGAGCTGCCAACAGACACAGTGCAGTCCTTTCTCAGAGTTAAGCCCAAGGTCAGATGAAGGGAGACATAACTAGAAATGACCAAAGTACAACAGGGTATCAGAGCAAGCAAGAATCTTTTCCAAGGAGAACAATCCATGATCCTTAGAAAAATAAAGGGATAATAATGGCCTTTAATCAAAGGTGAGACACCAATGACACAGAACCTTGGGAATGGCTGACTGCTTGTTCCAACTATTTATTATTACTATTATTCCAGTATATATTTGTAGTGCATGTGTGTGTGTGCGTGTGTGCGTGTGTATATATCACACACACGCACACACACACAAACTAATAGCAGTCACTAGGAACAGGTGTGAACTTGGGTCCTAGCTTAAGGATGTTCCATCTATGAATATTGCTATTACTAAACAATGCACCCCGAAGTTTGAAGATGAAGGCACGAGAAAGACTGCCCTTCTCTGACTTACTCTATTAACCAGGCACTTTACCTCTCCCCTTTCACTGGTAGGAGAAAGGGCTTTAGATCTTCTCAGTCTTGCCAACAGAAGCAACACTGCCCTCACTCAGGCAGCCCTCCTGTTCCTACCTAACAATATATGATGGATCTTAGAAGTGGCACATTTCAAGGTATACTCCTGTCTCCACAATCAACAGCAGCAGTGTCTCAGCTGATACCAGCATTCTCTCTAGACTTGAATAAAGTGAGCATGGCTGGGCTATTTAACAATATAAAATACACAATCTTTGGTGCTTCAGCATTTGGCAAAACATCTTAAACGGCTTGAGGGGAGAAAAACTAGAAAAAACCTAGAATAACACATTCCCTAAGGTGGTCTTAAATATCTATTCTATATCAATTAGCATCATACTGCAACACAGGCCTGCCCAAAGGAATGCCTTCTACCACATCAATAAGCCAAAAGAGATTTTCACTGCAGCCAAATACTGTGATTTACCTCAGGGACACAAAGAATGGGGGGAAAACAAGAACTGAAAACAGTTTCACAACTGTGAATCAAGCTGAGAAACAAAGCCAATCCAAGCACAGGGAAAGAGGAATCCTTTCAGAGGAGGTCTGGAGCCCTGTCACTTCTTGCTTTGCTAGGTAAAGACCAGGAGAGATGAGAAAACAGACAAAAGCTGCAAAGAATTGATGGCATGCAGCAATGAACAAGACTGCAATAGTCTCATTTATTTCTAATGGAAATTAATGAAAACTTTTTTGTGTTAACAGCAGGTAATGTTTCAATGTAGAAACATTATCTTCCAAATGAAATCTTAATTGGTTATTAGCCACTTACATCTTATTGCTGGCCTGCTTGCCTAGGTCAGTCACTTGTCTTCACTGTGAACTGTGGTTTATACTGCCAGCTTTGGGACTCCTATTTTGAGCTCTTTTCTTGTTCCTGTAGCACTCCCTCTCACCGGTATCTTTACTAAGCTTATTCTCTATAACTCAGCTGATAAGGGAAAGTTGATTTCCACAATAGAGAAAAACGGAAGGGGGGAAAAAAGACAGCAAGAAATAGCAGCTATGCACACACTGTTAACCTATGGTGCAAGCTCAGAAATCATGAGGCAAGCTGAGATCTGAGAATGCAGAATCTTCTGCCTTCCTTCCTCTTCTTTCTCAACTAACTCGTTGCAAACACAATGTTTTCCACAAGGAATAACCAACAGATTACCTGTGGTTTTCTTTTTAACATTTTCTTCTTACTAATATGGACTGTTTTATACAATGAACATGTGTTGCCTAAGAGAAATAGCGAATGTTATTTGAAATGTTTTAAAGAACAAGAAACAGAAAATTGTTTCCAAAGGTTCTAAATGATTTAGACAGGGTTTAGGTGGACATGTGACTATTATTTAGTGGCAATGAATAACAGAACTGTGTGGTGTAGGAATAGTTTTTCTCCTCCAGTGCTAGAGATCAAACCCTAGGCCTTCTGCATGGTGGCTATGCACTTCGTTAGGCATATGTCTTCAGCCCTAAAGGTTCTCTCAATAGCCATCAGGTAAAAGCCCAAACATACACATTTCCATTAAGGAATCTCTGCCAGCACATTACCCTCATCGTATGTAATACAAAAATCCTAGTTTAAAGAAGGTCCCATCCATCAGCTGTGGGTATGAAAAGCACAAACTTGTTCTCAGTTATGAACACAGTATATTATATCCAACACTCAACTCGTCAACTGTTTCTAGAAAATTACTACCAAAACCAAGCTAAACCTAGAAGCTTACACAGGTCTAGAGTTTAAGCAAATCCCAGATCACCTACAAACTCTTACAGGATTGTACTGGCTTTTTTAATTTTTTTAAGGCTGATTTATCTGCATTTTTTTTTTTTAATGTGTATTTCAGTTTCACCTGAGTGTGGCTAATCACCAAGTGCATGCAGTGCACCCAGATACCAGAAAAAAGGGCATCAGATTGTCTGGAATTGGAGTTACAGTAGCTGTCAGGTGGGTTCTGGAGATTGAAACTGGTCCTCTGGAAGAGCAACAAGTGCTCTTAACTGCTAGACCATCTCTCCAGCCTCTTTCAGGGGCTCATAGCAACTTAAACTACATTTAGAAATGAAACTTAAAAATCCTTTGTAAAACGTATGGGGGTGGGACATGCAAGCCACAGCATCTATGAGGGAAAAGTCCTCTTTTAAAAATACTCTGGAGGCTTTTTTTCCCCAGTATTACTATGGAGATTCTGGAAAAAAGAGCTGCTAGACTCCCAGTGACAATATTATGCCCCCAAGTTTCCAGAATGGAAGCTAGGAGTAGACATAAGGAAGAATGCCCAGAGAGTATTCACTGATAGCCCGCTTTCTCCCCCAATGCTACAGGATAGAATAAAGATAAGACAGCTCAGCACATGCAAAAGATCTGAAAGCATGTTTCCCTCTTTCTTTAGAAAATGGTACTAGGGATAATCATCACATGGCCTCATGCATTGTCAATCACTGGCTGAGTGAAACCAGGGATATGGAACGCCAAGTGCACTGATGTCAGGTTTTACAATAAAATCACGAACTCTGAGTAGCCATGGCTACATGCGTTGGACCTACACAAGACTGGGCTACTCAATGGTCAGTAGTGGACTGGGGGGAGTTATTATGGAGTGCTAGCCCTCCCTGGGAAACTTCTGGCTACTGATGGATGTTGGGAGGTGGGGGAATCATAGTTATGTCTTCAGTTATCAGCCACTAGTGAGTGTACCACTGGAATGGATAGTTCCACGACCACACCCACATGGACAGTGAGTGCGGTTAAGTCAGTGGGTCACAAAACAAAGATACGAATGAGGGTGAGGAATTGGCAGAGAGAAGGAGAGGTTAACAGGTTGGGGTAGGTCAGAGTAATTAGAATGATTATATATGTGCATTAAATTGCCAATGACATGTGTAATTTAAGGGGGAAAATGCATGCCCTTGAATGTCCTAAGACCTATTAGTTCTCATGGAAAACAACAAAAAACTATGTAGGTCAAACTTAACCTGCTTTCAAAGGGACTATTATCAATTACAACATACTTTATCTCCACCCAAAGTTACCTTACAATAACAAAGTCAGAAATCTTACTTACTCCACTTGGCTGCAATATTTCCACCTTTTGTGATATGCCATTCAAATACAGCATTTACTTTCTTTACCACCTCACGTCCAACATCCTTAAGGCGGCGGCCTATTTCCCCAAACACGAGAGTACTCTGAAGCTCTCCATCCTGATGAAAAGAAATTTTATTTGAAAACTTCACAAAGAAATTATTACAAATACATGCACTAACAGTGATTTTTGTCCAGGTCATAAATAACACACTAAACTATTTTCTTCACACTGGGCTTATTTCACACTTTTCTTGGTGTTATATATCCCAGAATTGGTTTACCCTACCAGAAAAAAACATTTTTCAAGACAGGATTTCTCTGTGTAATAGCCCAAGCTGTCCTGGAACTAGCTCTGTATACCAGGATAGCCTAGAACTCAGAGATCCACCTGCAAGTATTGGGATTAAAGGTGTGAGCCACTACCATCCAGTAAGAAAATTCTATTTTTACTTTAATTTTAAAATATTTTTAGGGTCTGAGGTAAATACAGCACCTCCTATAAAACCATGAGGTCTGATTTGAATCCCAAGTGCCCATGTGGTGATGCACACCCTACCCTAGCACTGGTCCAGGGGCTCACTGGGAAGCCAGTCTAGATAAAATGGTAAGCTCCAGGTTCAGTGAGGGACCTTGTCTAAACAATAAGAGGGGAGACGCAACTGAGGAAAACATCTGATAACCATCTTTACATGTGTGGCTTCTCAGGTAAGTGTACCCAACCACTCCCCACACAAATTAATTAAAAAAGAGAGAAAACTGTCTACCTAGGCCTAATTAACTTCTCAAAAACACTGAGCAAATAACCAAGTCCTATAGTCTTCAATTTTTGTTTCTAAAATAGGAGTAAAATCCATAAAACCTTAATTATTTCTGCTTTGACTTTAGATTATCCTTACAAGATATTGATTTTTATTCATTATATTGTTTATGAAGGAAAAAGATCATGGGTATGAAAGTCTTAACACTATTAATATTTTTATCAAAAGCCTTAACCTTAAAGCCTTAACCTTACTAAAATATATATAATTTAGTAAATAAGACATGCTATTTTATCTTCATATCTACATATAAACCTTTACTTAACTTTTCAAGATTTCTCATTAAAACCAAGTTAGTCATTCTTAAAACAGACAACTATTTCCTCTTAAAAATCCTTGCGGAATATTGGGATACTTTTAAAAACTCTAAGCTGTCAAAATATTTCTTCCATTCCAATTAGTTTTAAATTCTGTTATTTCTGTAACAGGCTTTTTATAGCTAAAGGAAATAGCCTGACCAATCCTGAAGTGACTGCATGCCAGCCTTTGCAGCATGCCAGCCTTTGCAGCCTACCTTAGAAGGCATCTGAGCTGAAACCCCAGATGCAGGCACAAGATCCACATATGCATTTGAAATGACGATGTCTCCTGTCTCTTGAACCTGAAGAGTAGAAACAGGGTAGGAAAGAAATGCAGTTCACTCTGAAAAGCTACAGCCGTTTTGTTAATAAGAAGAAGAAACATGGAAAAATGAAACAGTAAGAAACAAATATTTTCTAAATTAATACAGTTGTTAGTAAGTGTAGATACAGAATCAACTGATAGTTTTTTCATTTTCCCTTCTTTAAAAACTATCATCAGGGTTCATGATAGCCCAGTGGTTAAGAGCACTTTCTGCTTACTCTTCCTGAGGACTCAGTTCAGTTCTTAGCAGTTTGTTTCCAGGTCAGCACCCACATGAAGCAGCTCATATCACCAGCAACTCCAGCTCAGGGAGATCCGACCCCTTGGCTTCTGTGAGCTGCTACACTCAAATGTATAGACCCATATACAGAAACGCACAATAAAATATAATAAGAACGTGTATTTTTAAAACCTAAATACTAATTTAAATGATCTAGGACAGAGCCTGGGCTCTGGTATTTATTTTGTAGATTTCCTTTTCCCAAGCCCAAGTGTATTTTGAGGGGAGCCAGAGTAAGCAGACAACTGTTGGAAATAGTAGAAGGTGTGTAGCAAATTTGTTCTGTTAATATAGGTTAAAACTGCCTAGGAACAGACGATAATGTTTGTAAAGTCCTAATTCTGGATCCTATTTTAAGTCAGAAGTATACACAGCATGAAGTTAATGTCCAAATAACCTTTTATACCCGTCATTAAAGAAACTCTCGTTCCTAACCCTGTATTTCAAATCACTCTACTGACTAAGCTTCCATAAGAATGATACTGTAAGCCAGGCTTGTAATGTTAGCACCCAAAAGGCTGAAGCAAGAGAACTGCACGTTCAGTGTCTGCCTGCAATAAGAAAGCATGTTTCTGTACACACAGAGCTATAACAAAACACTGTCTCAAAGGGGGGAAACGGATTCACAATATAGAGAGCAAATTTCCAAAAGTGAAAGTAGCAATCATTACAACTTTGAATTTAACTAACCCCCTTGACTACCTCCCTTCATTCTTGAAAGGAAGGAAAATACCGTGTGTGTGTGTGTGTGTGTGTGTGTGTGTGTGTGTGTGTGTGTGTGTGTTTAATGAAAAAACAAAACACACTTTAGCAAATTGCTTTTTTATAAGCACATGAGCATAGAGTTCTGAAATGCTTGTGTTTCTTAAAATACACTGGAAAGGAGGGAGTCAAAGTAGGAGTCTTCTACTTCTACATCCCTGTAATTACTGGAGAAGGAGAAAACACTCTGAAGAGAGAAAGCATGTTTAGAGCCATTTAAAATGGAAAGAACGCATTACATGTAGGTTATTTCTCAGCTCTTTAAGTTCACACAATGTGTCCATGGACTTTTCATGCTAAGATTGCATGCAAATGAAAACCTATAACCTTTCATATGGTGTCAGAGTCCACACACTTTGGAGTTCATGTTCTTTGATGTTTGTGTCTTTCTTCTTGCTTTCTTCATGGTACTAGGGGCTGAACCCAGGGCCTAGCATGCAACAGACAAGTGCTTTGTCACTGAGCAACATCCCCAGCCCATTTGTGCATTAATTTTCAAGTATGATTCTGAACTCTAGGGCTGGGGTTATACAATATTTGCCTAACAAGGACAACACCTTGGGTTAATCCCCAATACCAGTCTCCAGGACCCTGACTCCACCACAAATATTTTATGCAAGACAATTAGAAAAGAGAGCTGAAGAACAGGAGGCAAAGATTTTTTTAAAATATGGTTTCAGAGAAGGCCAGGGTGTGTGCATGTGGGAATGAAGGATGGAAGTTCAAGGTACTACATCAGCTGGGCTTGGTAATGCATGAGTTAGGTAATGCATGAACATGTTCTCAGCAGCAGAAAGGCATTAGTACAAAAGCAGAATTCTGCTAACTCACCAGTTCTTGGAGGAACAAACTACAGAAAAAGCAGTCCTAAAACTTTGGAGCCGGGTTTTTACACCTGCTCAAACATTGCCTGTAAAGCCATCAGCAGTCCTTACCAACACCAAGATTGTCTTAGGAACCTAGGTTTTCTTATAATTCAATGCAGAGTTGTTATGGAAGACAACAGTGCTTACAGCATCTCCATAAGTAAAGTGTTATTGTTACTATTGACTTAAGCCTATCCTCCTGAGACAGAGTAACAGAAAGGTATCAGCAGCTGAACCACAGTGGTTTTTTAAAGCTTTACTAAGTCTCCCTCAAAATTACTTAAATCAACAGACAACTGAGTAGCTTGACAATTATTAATTTATAGACTTGTGTGAGAGAGAGAATGATCAAGAGCACATGGTTTCTGTCTAGGGAAAAGGCTCTAACTCACAGTTCCCTAGAAGACAAGTAGCTAGCAAAAATTTGTTTCGAATGCCTTTCCTGTCAGAATAGATAAACTGCTATTGTGATTCTCTTGAGCCAAGCTGCAAGATCTTGCATCAGTGACGAGAGAGAAATATTCAACTATCTGTATGATAGCTGGGAATCCAGCATGGGACTGACTCAGACCCCCTTGAACATGGGTCTCAGCTAGAAGGCGTGAGCAGTCTAAGAGACCTCAGACAGTGGAACCAGGATGTATTCCTCGTGCACAAAAGGACTTTGGGGGCATATTCCCCATGGAGGGATAACTCCCTTAACCTAGAGGCAGGAGAGAAGGCCTAGTCCCTACTTCACATGACCCCTCCTGGAGGGCATCACCCTACATGTGGAGTAGAGGGATGGGTGGGAGGGGAGGGGAGCGAGAGAAGGAAAGAAGGAGGGAGGGTGAGGGAACTGGGATCAATATGAGGAATCAACTAAAAAAAAAGTCAGCATTAACTCTAGATGTACTCCCGAGTTTCTTTCTCAAAGATTCCTAGTACTATCTACAAAAATGCTACCAGAGAACAAAATGACAGTGTATGGTTCAAAGGGTCACACAGCACACACTTCCAACTCTGTCATTCAGTCATTCATACCTTAGTTTGAAAATGAATTCTGTTTCCTTCCTTCCACATCTCAGTTTGTAGAGTTTGTCCTGGATACACTGGTTTGGCAAAACGAACCTATTAAAATAAGAGTTTTAAGCATTAAAAATGTTTATTTTTTTTTTTAAGTGAAACTTCTACTTGGAAATTTCAGGGAAGGACAGCATAAAAGGAAAAAGGTAGAGATTTAAATACGTTAAGCTTCATAGAAGATATCAAAAAATGTAGGAAGTTAACAATGCTGACATTCCATGCACACACAATAAGCTAGTTCTTTTTCCTCATAACAAAAGAACCAGGGCTGGGAACATAGTTCACTGGTGAAGTGAGTGCTTGCCTAGGTTATGTGAAGCCCCAAATTCAATTCCCAACATTGGAGCGGGGGAAGACAAAAAGGCAGCATTTTTTAATGACAAATCAAAAACCAAAACCATAATCCTATTAGGTAGTGATACTAGCAGCCACCAGAACAATTTACAGTTCAAAGTAGCACTAATTAATATGGGATCTGAAGGCTCCAGTGAGTTCATGAAACAAAATATTTCCACATTTCAGAGCACGATCATCTATGTTACTGTGTGAATCTACACACACATTGCTGAATTTAAAAAAAAAATTCAATTGTGATTAAAAAGCATAAAAAAAATGAGTGTTATTAAGGTCCGTCCAGGCATCAGAAAATATATCTTCACTCTTGCATGGAGAATAAACTAATAAATACTTTAAAGCCATTTGACACAGCTGCCGTGCCTTAATGCCTTTCAAGAACACATCCTTTGACTTAGACAAAATGTTGTAGGCAGAAACATTTTCCTTTGTTTTTAACAAAGTAGGTAAACAGTAAAATCTTAAAATCAACTTTAAGCACAAAACTAAAAACAGCAAGTCCCATCAGTGCTGCAGGAGCTGCTATCTTCTGTTAAGGCTAGTGTAGAGTTTCAAAAGTATATACGCTGAGACTGGGCAGGGGTGGTATACACCTTTAATCACAGCGCTCCAGAGACAGAAGCAGGTGAGTCTGTATGAGTTTGAGATCAGCCTGGTCTACAGAGTAGGTTAGTTCCAGGACAGCCACGGCTACACAGAGAAACCTGTCTCAACCTGCCCCTTCCCCAAAAAAAATCTATACAAGAGATATATACCTTAATCGCCTTGAATCTTGACACATCATTATCTGCAAACTGCTGTAAAACATGCCTTGCAGAAAATCCAAAGGTACATAATCCATGTAATATGGGCTTCTCAAAACCTACGAAAATTTGGATAATTTTTACATGGAAAGTGTTATATCTAAGTATGCATTTAATTCAGTATTTAATGTCTTTTAAACTGCAATTGTACCATGTATTAAGAAACAGAACACACCGACAGTTGGTACTACCTTTTATCACAGCACTGGGGAGACAGAGGTAGGCAAAGCTCTCTAAGCTCAAGGCCAGCCTAGCCTACATAGCAAGTTCCAACCTAACCAGGGTTACAGACTGAGGCTGTATCTTTATAAACAGAGTTTTCTACAAATAGTACTTAGTACTTCCTAGGGGGAAATTAAGAAACTATTTCTTAAAAAACTTGGGAACACAACACGTTTTCATTTCATTTTGTTTGAGACAAACCACAGTGAGTTGAGGGATTTCATACGGTTTTCTAACCTTTCAAGCTTTCATTCTCTAATGACCTTGCCTCCCTTGTGACAGTTCACGTCCTTCGCCATAGCTTTAACCTAGGCCTTCAGCAGCAGCTTCACTCTACTGTCTGAATTTCAAGCAAACCACCATTTCCTGAATACTTCACACCTTTCTGGAACCCCTGAAGAAATAGGACAACTACCTTTTCAATGCTATTCAAATCACCAGTCATAAGCAGCACTTTCTTTAGTGTATAGTTCGTTACCTGAGCTAATATTTTTCAATGACTCACCAGCAATTCTAGCGAAGCTAGGGTCAATGTGTAAGGGATTCCAGTCTCCACTGAGGCGGTACAAAGCAGCCTGCAGAGAAAAATTGTCACTGAACTCGGTGTTTTCTGAGAAAGTATTAAGTGTAGGACAGGAAGTGTGGCCAACTATTGATTAAAATATATAATATACATTATAAATCTAGACTGTAATCGAAAAGATAACTTATTTTTACAAAAACAAGATTCCCTGTAACCTAACAGAAAGAGAAAACTCAGTAGAGACAGATAAAGGGTTAAAATCTCTTTTAGCCAATCAAAATCTATGCCAACTTTCTTAATGGGTTTTTAATTTGAAGGCTATGACATAATACTGAACAGACAGATAAATGTCAAAGCCTTCTCACTAACTTTCATCTTTCTGGCACACTAAATCCTGAATATCAGCTCATGCACAAAAAACAAACCAATAGCTTGCCAGTATGACTCACTGTGTGTGTATAGCTCAGATTTTCACACTACTAATTTACATAGGTAAGGCAAGAATAGCAGAAAAATGTAGACAACAATAGGGAAAGCCATCATTTTCTGGTATTTAAACTGTGTGGTTTTCAATCCTGGAGAGCACTCTAGTTTGAAGGGAAGAAATCCACAAGGCAGCTGGGCATTTAATGTATCTTTATAATAGCTTGTTACAGTCTGTCGGACCCGCCTCAACATCTTTTCCTTAACAAGTCTGCTTATCAGAAAATTTCTCTTTTCAGTGGCTCTGTATTCTTTCCTGTAGTTACGTTCTTCCAAATACAAGATTCTCTGTGTTAGAAAATTAAATGCTTATTTTTTTTTTTTTCGAAAGCCATATAAAAGCAGTAAACACTAGGAAACTACGTACTATCCACTATCCTGTATACCTTGAAAAAAGATACATCTTTGGGCCACAATGGGAAGTTGTTAGGCATGACCTACAGATGGGCTTTGACTCCAGAGAGACCAGAATCCACATCCATCCCTATCACAACTAAGCAAGTTTCTCCACCAATTTAAGCCTCAAGCTAGGAGAGCTCACTTTCAAAGAACAACTGCAGAAATTAAATGAGGTAAAACTCATAGGTATTGCCTCAGTGAACATTAGCAATTTCTAAACCTTTATTCAAGAGTTTAGCAACAGTATAAGTCAACAAAGTCTCTGATTAATACTTTATTAGAGCCCTGTCTACACAGAGGATAGAGTATGCATGCCTGCAGGTGCAAGCCCCAGGAATGTGTGTATGCCTGAGGATGCAAACTCCAGAAAGCATCTCTTTTGGAGAAGATAAGACAAAAATATGCCCCAAGAACCTGCATAGGACCGAACTAGACCCTCTGAATATAGGTGACAGTTATGTGGCTTGATCTGTTGAAGATGGGGGGAAGAGGCGAGGAGGGGGTACAGGAGCAGGGATGAGGAATTGGGAGTTGGTATCTATCTAAAATGAAAAATAAATTAAAGCTTTAAAAAAAAAAAAAAAACCTTTCCAAAGCAAAAACACCTCCCTTCAGTACTCCCTACAGCCATCCATTAAGGAAGAAACAAACAGCAATTTGCTATGGGGAAGGGATGCCACAGCTCCAAACTAGCAACCTTGGACACCAAGCCATCAGCCTTATGAAGGGCGAGCACAGAGGTAAGCAGATCATGTAGCTTCAAAGGACTCTGTAAAGGACTGCATTTCAGTGTCGTACTCACTGCTGCTGATGGCTCTCTCCCTCCAGAACGCTGGATCTGTTTGTCTTTCTCCCAACTACTCTCCACCTAGCCTTTCAGTTCTTGCCCTCATTTTCACTTTTTCTTGGATGTATTTTTTTATGTGTATGGGCACTTGGCCGGCTTGTATGTCTGCACATCCAGAGAGGCCAAAACAAAGTGTTGGGTCCTAGAACTGGAGTTACAGAACTTCATGAGCTTCCACACAGGTGCTGGGAATTGAGCAGCCAGAGCCCTTAACTCCTGAGCCATCTCTCCAGCCCCCTTCATTCCCTGTTTCATCAATGTTGTCTTTCACCTCCCACGTGTCCTAACAGCAGGGCGTCTCATCCATTTTATGGCTAGATGGGGGGGGGTGCATCACTTACATACTGTGTCTCATTTCTGCACTTGTGGTCTCTAACCTTGTCATGGGTTTGCACTTGGCTACTTCAATCTGTCAGTCAGAGTTCCTCAGCCACGGCTTAGATGATGTGCTTTTAGAAGAGTTGATACAACCTTTGATTTCGCAAGAATGATGGCCCATTTCCACCCTGCTCTGGAGGAGTCCGATGCCCAGCTATCCTCCTCTGCGAGTTACTTCACCATTGTAATTTCGGCCCTCAAGGTTTTTTTTTTTTTCTTTTCTTTTTTCAATCTTTAAAGTCTGAAGATTTTACCAGGATCCCTCTCAAAACCACTTAATGAAAATTTGCATTTCCTGGTCTATACAAGTGAGGAATTTGTGATATTTATGATTTTCAGCCCCGCAAAGGAATGTCCTAAATCTGAAAGGATCCCCAAAAGAATCTGCTGTCGATTTAACACAGTAGTGACTTTAATAATTATATGTTAATGGGAAATACAACCTACCCAGTAATAACTGAAATCCTGACAGTATAATTAGCATTAGGCACATATCTGGTGAAACTACAGTTTGTTTCTCATTCCCCTCAAATCCAACACCTGGTATTGAGAGCTGTTCACTGTTTGACCTTTTTATATCACTGCATGAAAATCTTTACTCTTCATGAAACATGTGTTTTACTTGTGTGGTCAAGCCAGCTACCAGTGAAGAAACTCTCCTGTGGACACTTAAACAGCATATCTGGGAAGTGGCATTTGTAAGGCTAAAACTATACAGTTGTATTTGCTTGCTGACTAAAAAGTTACTAATATAAATGACCCAGCACAAGCTTATGCTTTAATAGCATAATTTTTCCAGTTTTTATAAAGATCTGCCCATACACATTGTCCTCCCATTACCTGCCAATGTAAATGTGACTTCACCCTTCACATAAGCTAACACCCATCATGCTTCCTCCTCTCTGTGCTCTGTTATACTTCTCAGACTCTTCCCTCACAACCTGAAAGCACCATATCTCTAAGGAGGGAATATCCTTATCTTTCTGCTTATCAATCAAAGGAGTGCCCTTCCTTCTCCAGGGACTTACTCTACAAAGCAAAGCATGGTGTTTCATTTTTCCTTGCTTGGAGTAGGATTCCTGAGTCACCCCACTAAAGTCACACACAGTATGGGGTGCCCACACTTTTCAGCAGAGCAGTATATGAGCCCAGTGAGTCAGCACTCCTCACCTGATTCAGTGACGTGCTGTCCCTCAGCACAGCATCAGGAGGTCGTTTTGGTACAGCTACAGCTGCCTGGAATCAAAAGACATGTGAGTCAGCTTAAATATATGTGATTCTCTTAGCAAAACTGACATCCGGTAAACATCCATGTGTCAATATAATAAACTCTGCAAACTGGATAAAGGGTTTTTATGTACAGAGAAAAATGGCATTTAAAATGTCATAACTCCTATCTTTTTATAAATTACAATTTCCCTAAAATGACTCTTTACAATACAAGAAATATTATCAGAACTATTCTCAGGTCACAGAGGACAAAAGACAGTTTTTACTATATAAAAAGATAACAACTCTAAGAATTAAACAATTTACATTTTTTTAAAAATTTAATTTTTACCATTAATTATGTGGGGGCAATACAGGAATGCAAGTGCACATTGGGGCCAGAGACAAATTCCCCTGTAATTGGAATTATATTATATTCAAACAACTATATCGGGTTTTTACTTATTTATATAAAAATAAAATGTCATCCAGGGGCAGGGGGCACATACCTTTAAATCCCAGCACTCAGGAGGCAGAGGCAGGCAGACCTCTGTGAGTTCAAGGCAAGTCTGATCTACAGAGTAAATTCCAGGATAGTCAAGGCTACACAAGGCTACACAGAGAAACTCTGTCTTGACAAAAGTGGAGGGGGTGGTGATGGGAGATGTCATTCTGTATATATGTTTTTCATACTGGTTAATAATAAAGCACTGTTGGCCAATAGAAAAGGAAGATAGGAGGGACTAGGAGACAAGGAGGAAATAGGGAGGAGGAGTCAGGATGGAGAGCCTGGAGAGAACAGAACCGTCATTCCTCCGCTCTCGGTAAGACTACGTGGAAATACATAGAAATGGGTTAATAATTAAGACAGAGCTAGCCGATAAGAAACTAACACCTGGCCAACAGTATAATATCAAATACAGAGTCTCTGTGTATTATTTGGGGCTGGCGCCGCGGCAGGACAAGACTGGCGGCGGGAGGAAAAACCGTACACCTTGGGGGGGGGGGGAATCAATTGTGCCACCATTACATAGTTTTTTACAATAAAGTCAGCTTTCTAATTATAGCATCAATGATTTTTCACTATGAAATACTAAGCTTAGATATCACCAAATTTATTCCATTCCACAAATCCCAAAAACACAATAAAAGACCATGAGGAAGAGAAAGTCTGCTGCTTTTCAAAAGCGATTTAACTTCTTTTTTAAGTAGGAGAGGAGGGAAGGAGAGGAAAGGTACCATGGAAAGACTCATTCAGAGCCTAGTAAGTCAGTCTTATAGAGAGTGAAAGAAGCTGGGAATAGGGGCCCAGGCCTACAACCCTAACACCCTGGGAAGCTGAGGCTGAGGCAGGAAAACTGATACAAGTTTGAAGCCAACCTGCTCTATAGAATTAGACATCATCTGAAAAACACAAAAATGGGTGGGGCTGGAGAGACATCTCAGCAGATGGAATATATACAGCCCTTGCAGGAGACTCAAGTTTGGTGCCCAGCACCCACCAGGGGTCTGATGCCTCTGCTTCCTAGACACCTGCACAGACCCATGCACATAATTTTAAAAAGGAAAATAGAAAGTAATCACTAGACAGGGAAGAGGAGGAGGAAAGGAGTCCAATGCCACAAACCAGCCAGTGTGGACCGGTACAGTATGATGGCAGAAGATGAAGCAACATATATCAAGAACATAAAGTTCCCAATACATACAAATGATTAGTGTTCCAAGATACGCAAATTTTTTTCTAACTTACATATTGAGCACATATAAAAATGTACAAATATTATACCTCAAAAAAAAAAAAAAATGACTTACTTTGAGTTTTTCTGATGTCCGTTTTCCTCCAAAGCCCCCAGAGCCAACAACAAAGACAGAGAACTGATTATAGCATATAAGTTCCTTCCCAGAATAAGAATAAACTATAAAAGAAGCAAGATGGAAAAGAGAATTATTACATAAAATATGTCTAGTTAATGAAGACAGGCTTCACAATTTCTTTAATAAGTAAATAAAATGTGGCCAGTGCAAACGTCAGCATTTACAGTGAGCATGGGGATTGGCAAAGCTCTACTGAGGTGTGCTCGTCTCCAGTCTCTGGTGGCAGAGAGAGCTCCCCAGCCCTTCACCATGAATGGTGGGGATTTCACCTTTTAAATCCCCCAACTAGCACCTGTATCTCAAGTTTTATCTGCCACCAACATTTCAAACAATTCCTCAAGAAAACTCAAGCTACCACACTCAAACTCTGAAATGTCAAAGCACCTCAGAAGAGCATGAGACTTAAAGAGACAGTGCCCACTAGTGGAATAAGGAGTGGCCCAGGGGCTGCCCGATTCAAAGAAGGTTCCTCCTGCCTCAGCCAAATGAGTGCTGAGATCATTACCATATGCAACCATCCATGGCTGTTAATGCATTTTCACCAAAATTATTTCAACTTCCAACATGTTTACCAGGATGCAACCCATGGTAAGTCAAAGAGCACTGACATAGTCTCTCGCACTTCCCTCAGAAAGGACAAATCAGGCAGAGCTGACATTTCCACTGGGTTTTTTGTTTGTTTTTCTAATTTAATTTGAAACAAGCTTGTTTTATATGTCAATCCCAGTTCTCTCCCCCTCCCCTCCTTCCCTTTCCCCTACCAAGCCCCTATCTCGTTCCCTTTCTGCTCCCCAGGGAGGGTGAGGCCTTCCATGGGGGATCTTCAAAGTCTGTCATATCATTTGGAGCAGGGCCCAGGCCCTCCCCCATGTGTCTAGGCTCTATGTGGAATAGGCTCCCAAAGTCCACTCATATACTAGGGATAAATACTGACCCACTACCAGAGGCCACATAGACTACCCAGTCCTCCCAACTAACACCACATTCAGGGGGTCTAGGTCAGTTCTATGCTGGTTTCCATGAGCTCCCCCTTAATTTCCACTGTTCTTAGAAGCAAAATGTACTCCTCTATTTTTCTTCTTCTTAAACTTAATAAAGTTTCTGTACTATCTTCAGCTTATGTTTAATTACTTATATTGTATTAATTCAATACTTACTATAAACTACTATAAGATTTTTTTCTACCACAGATAAAACGTGGCTACAGTGTTTAAACCGCATTATGAGTTCAACAGTTTTAAATGCAGTCTAGACATCCAACTGCAATCTAGAATAATCAAATCCAAAAAGCTAACACAGAAAAGAGCATCAATAACACAGCCCAGGTGCATCAACCCTATCGCGGTAGGCATAACTCTCCCTGTGATTTTACAGGACACATACCTCACTTCTGTGCTTCAGGTATATTGGTCCAACACACTGACATTTCCCACCTGCACCAGCCTTGGCCCCAATTCCCCCTCCTCCCTTATTTTTCTTAAAGACCCTATGAAATTTTAAAATGCTTACTTTGTATTCATTTTATAAATTGTGAGAGAACAAAGTGGATCAATCTCTGTGGTGAAGTCCGTTACATGCAAAGCCTATCACTCTAATGGTATTATTATAAAAATTACAGATATGTTACCGTCCATAACAATCACTATGCCAGATCCTTTATCCAGGATGTCAGCAATAACTGCTTCACATTTTAGTTCTCCTACAATTAAAGTAAGATAAACAATTACATATAAGACGTCAAGGAATTTACCATGGTTTCTACTTACTTCAGCAAAGTGAAAACAATTATGGTTTTAAATATTTTCCCCTAATTTACCACTAAAAAAGTAATTGCTTATACAGAACATGGAAATCACTAAATTTGAAACATAATAATCACTTTCAATGACAGTGACTCCTAGTACAAGGTCCAGCTGGCATCTAAATATTGGGTAAGCACCAATCCCATTCTCCTTATTCCTTCTCACATCTCTATGGCTTCTGTGAAATATTTTCTAAGTATTCTTCTCCGAACTTTTGATTCTCATTTAACTGATTAAATTCAGTGGGTGACAAATGCAAACACAAAAAATTAACAATGGGGGGAACTTGAGGAAAGAAGGCAGTTGAGAAGGGCAGGAGAAAGAAGGAGGGAGTGAGGATTACCAAAAAGTATTATATACAAGTATGAAACTGTCAAATATTCATTTAAGACCCGCCTTTCTCTTTTACCTACAAACTGGACTAACACCCAGTCCCCAACCACACAACTTGAACTTCAGCTTTGACTCACAGAAAGCAAGTCTGTGTTAATACTTGAACGTAGAAAGATAGGTACATTAACTTAATCCCAAAGTTCATGGACAGCTATTTGAGGACTTAATAGGGAAACAGCAAACACATTCACATCTTGGGTTCAGCACTATGGCTGCAGGGAGGCAAAAGTCCCTTCAGAATAGGAATGGAGGCAGAAGATACTAAGGAGGTGATGGAGGAACAAAGTCAGCAAGAGGTGGGGAAGTAGATGAACAGAAAGTGAAGACTCCAATAACTTCCTAAGTATCTGCCAGTGGGGGATGGTGACAGAGAAAAGCATCACAAAGACATTCCGCATGATGCTTCCCAAAACCAATCTGTTGATGACTCTTCATTCAGACTGGACTCCAAGCCTGACTTTCAAGGCCTGTGACAACCCTTGTTGCCTCTTTCTCTATTCTCAAACCTTATACACTCCCAACTCATCGTTAAGGAAGGGAGAACTGTTTTCAGATTCCCCTGACAGCCTCTACCTCCAGAGTGTTAGGATTAAAGTGGTGTCACCATGCCTGGCTTGCATCTTAAATTTTCTGTATTCTTATTTCCTAAAGGATAAAATTTTAAACTATATAACAAACACACAGAGACACTACTGAAGACAAAGAACTCACAAGAAACATGACATGAGGCTAAAGATGTGTAAGAAATCAAGGAAAGTATTTATCCATACCTTCCTAGTATATTAATGTACAACTGTTAATTATTTGGAGTATATACCAAATCTCTTTTTATATTACAAAATCTCTAAGGGCAATATTTTATACACACCTACTTACTTAATAATGGTTCCCCAAATGAGACCACTAGGCTGGCTACACATCAAACATACAGGGACCTTTATGAAATGCACGCATAAATACACACACACAAGATCTAGGGCTTTAGTACAGAATATATTGACTAAAATAGCAGGTAATATATAATAGCTCAGATAATTCTGACATAACCAGGTTTTTTGTTGTTGTTTTTAAAAAGCATCTAATACCTGATACTATAATATTCTGCCTTGGAAATGGTAAGTATCCCAGGGTCACCATAAACTGTGTATTGCCTCAGACTAAATAAACAAACTAGAAATGTATTCTGCAATTTAATGGAACATAGCTATTACACTTTAAAAGCAGTTACAAACTCAAAGTTTTTGTAAAATATCAACGTTTAAAGGGACTACTTGCTGATTCTACATTATATGATGTGAAAAAATACCAAGTCCTCCTTTGATTTTAACCATACTCTGACATCAAAAAATACATGAAAAAATACATGAAATTATTGTGAAAAAATAAAAATATGGGGTGGGTACATGTTCTCTCTTATCTGTGGTGCTTAGCTCCAAATCCTCAAATATAAGCATACAACATGGAGTAATCACCCCAAAAACTGAAGTATAACAGAATAATTGGGGAGTGGGGGATGGGGGATAATTAGGGAGATAGGAAGATAAAGGAATAATTGGGAGTGGGAGTAGGAAGAGAATAGCAGAATACAGGTGATATGAAGTAGACAATGGAATAAGGAGGACAGAGTTCCAAACGCACAGTAGGGAGGTCAACACAGAAGGAGGAAGGACAAGAAGAGGTACAAATGGCACCAAGGTTGTTTGATAAAGTCTTAAAGCATCATACTTTTTTCTATTTGCCTAAAGTTATATACAATACATATAAACACACACAAAATAAAAGAAAATAACAAAAACTCCAGTACTGGGCATGAGAAAACTCCTTCTGAATGGTCAGTCAGGGTAATTCAAATAGCTCCCCAAACAATATTACTGATATAGCCCTTGGTTGCTTGTCAGGGGTGGGCCCCTATTGCTGAAGACACCACACACTTAAGGTACAGAATTCAATGATTTGATCTGAACCTAACCTGAACACCTTTTTCCCGTATTCTAGCTTCCATGGTTCCAGAAAATACAAACTACTAGGGGAGGGGTACAATTAAACAGTTCTATTCGGATGCAATATCTATAAACCATGGCAATTGCCAGCACAACAAGACATGCATAAAGTTGTCACAAGGCTGCACCCTTTAGCTAAAGGGTGGTAACCAACAGCTGTCTAATGGGACTAAGGACCACTCAACATGAGGGAAATCATGCCTGGTACCGGAAATGTAGCCAGCTTCCTGGGGCTAGTGAGGTCATGAATACTACCCCAATTTTTCTAGGCCAGCATTAATTCCTTGCTACATTCTGAATCTTACCCTTATTACCCCATGCAAGTGTAGCCACCACCTCTCTCTATAGCAATGAAGGTGGTCACAGAAAATCATAACTGGACACAATTCACACATCAATGGATGGTGGGGATCCAAGCTCCAGTGACTGACTACAGCTACATCACATGATCAACAGATCATGGAAAACCCAGCCCCAGTGGAATCATCTACATCACAACTCCTCCATCTATGGCTCAGGAAACATCATGAAATAGGAGGACAAGGATTAAAAGAGCCAGAATTTCTATAAAACAGTCTGTCCTAGGTATGAATGAATATGTAAGACTAGAGCAATGGTACCACAGATGGACATGTTAACATAGAAAGAGGGAAATTCCAGAGCCCCACTATTTGACAAAGAACTATAGGCAACTACTGACTGTTAAGGAGGAGAATTATCCTCTCCCAGGGGTGAGTCCCCTTATTGAATATTCAATAAGAATGGTCATCCCAGAAACCATGCATCCACAAACAACAAAAACTAACTCAGCAGGTTATATTCATATGCATTTGTATATAGACACATGTAATAATAGTCAAAGAAAAGGGGTATCAACTTGAGAATCAGGAAGCATGGGAGAAGTTCAAAGGAGGGTAGATGGGAGGTACTAGAGGGCTGGAGGGGGTGATGTAATTCTGTTTCAGCTAAGTACATATTTCAAATGAAAACGTTGGAGCTGGGGACATAGTTCAGTCAACAGGGTGCTGCCTACTATTCAAAGCTCCTTGGTTCCATCCCAACATAAACCTTGTCTAGTGTGGCTCAAGCCTTAATTCCAGGAATCAGAAAGGAGGAGGACGAGGAGGATCAGAAGTTCAAGGTCATCCTCTGCTAGAGAAAAAGTTGGAGGTCACCCTGGGCCTATCAAAAAAAGGATAGATATAGATAGACAGAATGCTTTGGTGAACATCCAAAGTATTTTCTTCTCTTCCAAGGAAATATGAAAAATTATAAATGCTGTATCTTTTGCATTGTTTGCTTTATGCAAATCAATATAAAGATAAGCAGCCACAGGAACCATAACTGATACACAATCATTCATATAAACTACACTAAAGATAAACTTGTAGTGATATATACATATATATATCACTACAGATAAACTAGTAGTATTAAATCAATAGTTTTACTGATAGTGGAAGACAATTAGGGACTGGTTAATCTACGGTTACATATGGATACTTCTGATACCTTGTTGGGCTGGACTATGCCAATGTAACATAATGGGATGACTAGGGGGTTAATCAGAAAATTAAAGCATAGCATCAGGCAATTAGCTCACATAAACTCACCTGATCGAGGAAGTGGTTTATACAACTCCAAGTATTGCTCTCCATGAAGAACCTATGTTACAACAAATGCAAATTTATTAGCAAACTCTCATGAACCAGTGTCTACCTGTGGGTACTGCTAAGCAAAGGTAATATTTTACTATCCACACACCACATCAGTATTTTTCCTGTGTCATCTATCTCAGTATGGTTTTTACTTCTTAATCATGCAATGTAGAAACAATTAGCACACCAGCATAAAGACAAACAGATCTTTTGGAGAAGAGAAGATAAATTTGCATTCTTAGAATTCAGGGACCCTTATTGATTTACCAATGGAACCACTCAATCAGGCTCTGTTCCAAGTGTATACAATAATGCCTAGAATATATTGGGCATTCCGTAAATATTCACTCAGTAAAAATGAACCTAATGAGCCAGGGCTGGAAACTTCAAATCACACAAACCAAGTAGATATGACTCAGCTAAAACACAAAGATAAACCTAAGCATACTGAAAGGCAAAGACATCATTAATGTCAACATTCCCTCTGTGTATCTCAAAGAGTAGAAACCAAGCACACTGCAATCTGAGCTCAGCGCAGCAAAGCACCACATGCGAGTAAACCTGAGTAGAGTGTCCACATCCGAGTACCTGCACCTACAACAACAGGATAGCTTCCCAGTCTTCCCCAAAACACGGAAGGAGCAGAGCGAGGGTGATGGGAAACAAAAGGAGTGCCTTCCTCACTGTACCTTGAAACTCAAAGCTAGGAAAACTGAGAAACAGATTTCCAGATGGCTGTCACTCCTGGCCACAGACTGTGAACATCTTACCTGATTCAGCATATAACATGGGAGGGGAGTTAAAAAGGCAAAGTGTCCAGCACAGGTTTCCAGCCCTTCCTTCAAATGATGTCAAATAGTCTAAGAAAATGAGTACCTGCTACTCCAACAGGAAAGACATCAGCAATGGGCTGATCAATTCAACTAGACAGAAAGCTGCTCATAACTCTGAGTCAGTCACCATTGCTGGAATTGGCTCACACCTACATATGAAACTAAAACAAACCCTAGGCCAAGTTTTCTTAAGATCTCTTCCTTCTTGAAGTACTTTCTTCTGGCTTCTTTAATGTCATGTTGCTCATGCTGTGGGCCATCCTACCCAATTTGTTTTGCTAATTTTTCCATGTCTCTTCAACCTCTAAACACTTCAGGAGCCCAAAACTCAGGCATCTTCTCTACCTAAATTCACAGATAGGTGATTTTAGCTAGTCCCTCACTTGTAAACATTACTTGAATGTGGAGGATCCTGGTTAGATCTTTCCTTACCACGCTATTCACAATCAACTATGCCTTCCTCATCTCCACTTAAATAAGTACCAGACAGCTCAAGCTTGTACAAAACAAACCATTCTCCCTCAAGACAAGTATGTGAAGGCTGGAGAGATGGTTCAGTTAGCAAAGTGCTTGCTATGGAAGCATGAGGGCCTGAGTGTGCCCAGAACCCATGTAGAAGACACAGATGTGGCAGTGAATGCTCGGAATCACGGTGCTGGGCGGGTGAACACAGGCAGATCCCGGGGCTTGCTGCCAACCAGCCTAGCCTAATCAACAAATCTAGACCAATGAGACCCTGTTTCATAAACAAGGTAGACAGCACCGGAGAGATGGCACCTTGTGCTGACCTCTGGCCTCTGTGGGCTGGTATATTATCACGGCTTCAATCAAAGACTCACATCTAATAATATGTGGGCAGCACAAATTGGTCTTGTTGGACTTAAATAAAAAGAGGACTGGAGAGATAGCTCAGCAGTTAAGAACACTGGCTGCTTTTCCAGAGGTCCTGAATTCATTTCCAAGCAACCACATGATGGCTTACAACCATCTGTAATGAGACCTGGGGCCCTCTTCTAGCCTGCAGGCATACATGCAGGCATAATGCTGCACACAAAATAATCTTTGGGGAGGAGGAGTTTGGTGGGTAGAAAATGGGAGGTGAGTCTGGGAAGGTTTGGGGGTGAAGGAATGAATATGATCAAAGCACACAGTATGAAATTCTCAAAGAACTAAAAAAAAAAAAAAAAAAAAAAAAGGAATATAAACTAAAATCCTTATATAACTACCACAAGGCTTCCTTCTTGTAACAGCCCTGAATAGATCCTCTCTGCACTCTACAGTTAAGACTGATTCTGTGCTGTTCCAAAACAAGTCAAGTACATGAAGTACATGCTACCTCGGGGCCTGTTTATGCTAGAGATCTTTTCCCAAGATAATTAGTGGTTGTTCTCCTTCATCACTGTCATGAGGTAAAGACTGCCTATCACTCTATGGATAAAGAAGCCAAAGCCTAGAGCGGTTACTTACAATTACAGTAACAAGAAAATGATAGAGACAGAATTAACATTATTCCAGGATTACAGGACTATATGTAAGTATTTTCTTCATAGAATTTAAAACTAACTCTCCATTTGTGAAAAGTCAAAAGATATATTAAATCATTACTGCTAAGCCAACCACCATAGTCGATTTTATTTCAATATAATCATTATATATATATGTATATATATATACACATATCACACATATGTGTATGTGTATTCATATGTATAAATTGTATTATGTAGTTTGTAATAATAATATAGTATGAGACATTTACATTTACCAACTACACTTAAAGAAATAAGGGAAAAAAACAAGTTTCTTAGTAGGCATACCTTTGCAAAGTTGATTGACAGTCCAGGAATCTCTGCTAGCCCTCCATTCATCATGGACTTCTGAGCAACAATAACTCCAAAGGTGGGCAAACAGGAGAAGTCAGCACTTCCTTCATACACAAACTTCAAATCCTTCGGATTCTTAACTGAAGCACCTACTCCAAGGGCATACATAATGCTCTCCAGTTCCGTATACGAAGAGGAAAATGAAGGAAGCTTATAGCCAACAGCAGCAGCCTAAAAGAAAAACAGGAAGACTATTGACCACCACAGAAACATCTGCTGGCCCCAACTCCAAATCATAACTATAAGCTAGCAATGTTCTCAGGCTCAAAAATCAGATTTCTAACTGATAACTACAGCTTTCTGGGTCACAAAATACCAGGGCAATATGTAATGAATGATTTCTTTCTCATCTACTATACTTTTTTTTATGAAAAAAGACTTTTTTGTTCTGGCATAATATTACAGTGTTCCCTCCCTCTACTGATTCCTTCCCATATCCCCTTCATCTGGAGTCACCCCTTTTGTCTCTTGTTAGAAAACAGGCTTCTAAGGAATAATAATATAGTAAACTATAGTATTACAGAATAAAGCAAAAACTAACACATGGGACTAAGACAAAACAAAGAGAAGGAAAGGCCCAAGAAACAGATATAGACAGAGACCCACTCATTCACACTCTCATAAAAACACTAAACTGGAAGCCATAATGCATAATATATTCATCAAGAACCTATAGGGTGAAAAGAAATATATATACATATATATAATAAAAATTAGTTTTCTTATATTAATTTTGTATGTGTAGTAAAAATAAATATTAAGCCATACATACACACACATCCCAACCTGCTATTACATCCAGCAAACAGTACTGACAAGTATCACAGAGCAAGAGCTAGAACCCTCCTCATATTCCTGATCCTCACACAGTAAAGCAAAAACATGTCAACATTTTGTAATATAGTTTATCAAAGCTTTCCCTTAAAAGATCTTGCCTGGAGAGCCAAACAAAACAAAACAAAACAAAAAAACAAAACAAAACAAAAAAAAAAAAAAAAAAAAAAAAAAAAAAAAACAAAAAAAAAAAAGGAAAAGACCAATAAAATAAACATCCTTTCTCAAAAACTTAGAAAAATTATGTCTGAAGGAGGATTACTAATGTTTAAGGAAAAGACACTTGTCAAACTGAAGAAAAACAACAAAAAAGAAAGTTGTATTTTAATGTTCAGCTTGTATTTGCTCATTCTATCTACATTTAGGGTATAGTTTACAAGAAGTCGCTTATTTATTTTACTTTTTCAATTAACAGCCTAAAGAATTATTTTGTTAAAATGTTTTGGAAATATCAAAATTTCAAAGTGTTACTGATTCAGCCATTTTCAGCATAGAGAGAGGCTTGCTTCCGGTTGGCAAGAGAAAGGTGAACATGCCCAAGAACCTGTAGGACAGACTCCCCATGAGCCATTGATGCCATCCCCCCAAAAATTTTCAAAAAATTCAAATCCATTTCAAAAGCATTTAAAGTTAGCCATGAAGAGATAGAGTAAAATGGGCAGAATGAGGACTGCACATGGAGGAAGACTGATGGGAGCACCACCATGAACACTAGATCCCACATCATGGAAAACTGACAAGCACCAAACATGAACACTAGACCCCACATCATGGAAAACTGACAAGAGTACCACACATGAACGCCTTTTCATCAACAGTAGAGGTAACAGCTTTCTCCCTTCCATTCAGTATCTTCCTGTGTTACTTTCAAATAGCAAGGAGGGCATCAGCTAGCTAACACATTAACTGGACAACTAACTTGATTCACCACAACCCCAAAGAAAGACTATTAAAAATTACATGCAAAACTATACCCCTGAAAACAGAAAGGCTTCCAGCTCTTACAGTTATCACACAGAAATGCCCAGAGCAGAAGCTGAAGAGCTTTGGAAAACAATACCAAATCCCCTCCTCTCAAAACAGATCTCCATCAATGCAAAAAGCACAGTACAGCCCAGAAAAATCTCCGAGGAAAGGTAGAAGAATAGAGTTATCTGAACTTCAGAATTAACATCAAGCCACATGCTCATGTGGTTGTCGTGAATTCCTTGAACATCAAACTCAACCTGATTCCAAAGACAATGATAAACAGTTTCTGAAGACACACCACTGATTTTCTCTGTGATGAACAACACTGACTGTCTCCAAAAGGAAGGCTAAAGAAAGGGAGAGAGGATGGGTCTGTAGGTTGGTTTCAGGCTTCCCCTACTTACAAATCCTGATGTGTCTGTAGATGTCACATGACTGGTGTGATTTTGTGAGACTCCTTCCGAATCTACCTTATGTAAAACTTCAATTACACGACCGGTTGATTCTACAATTAAAAAGATAGAGCTTTGCTGTAAAATCTGAGTAATGAAAACTGCAATGTGCTAGACAACATCTACCACACACTTCCAGTGATCTTTCCATTCCAGTGGATGGCCGCACACCCATGACTCTGAACTAAATGGGTTATTAAAACAACAACAACAAAGAGGACATGAAGGTAAGACTGGGATAAGGGTAGCAGTATAGACAGTCGATATGAGAACAGCTAGAATAGAGTGGGGTGAATATGATCAAAATACGTTGTACACATATATGAACTTTTCAAAGAACTAATTAAAAATCTATTTTTAGGAGGATTCCACATAAACTGGATTGTGCTTGGCGGTACAGTGCTTGTCCAGCATGCCCGAGGTCCTGAGTTCTACCCTCAGCACCAAAAAGATAAATACGTGTAAAATGGTCTCTGCCTCCAAGGAACTTAACATGCAGTTAATAAGCCATACATCTGGAACAAAAGCAGTAAGAACAGTTACCATTAGATGTTCACGTGCTAGGAGTTCAGCTAACAGAATAGAACACAGCCCAGAATATGTGGGAATATCTTGCTGAACATTTGGGGTCTGAGTTTTTCTAAAGAAGTGCTAAAATTATATATAGGTGACAAAAGGAGGAGCACGTGGGATAGAAGAGAACAGCAAAGACAATGAGCTGAACCAATGCACATCTGTAACTTAAGATACATGCATGTTTAGGGCAATAGACAAAGCTGTGTCAGATTAAGAACATGTGGCTAGGGGCTAGAGAGATGTTCCAAGGTTAGGAATGCACACTGCTCTTACAGAGGACCAGAGTTCAGTCCCCAGCACCCACACTGGGGAGTTCACAACCTATAATTACAGCTCCAGGACATCGGATGCCCTCCTCTGAACTCCAAAGGTGCTTGCACTTACACAAGCGCACACACACATGCACACACTTAAAATCAATGTAAAAATAAAAAAAAGTGCATATGGCTAGAAAAATAGACTCCAAAACCAAGCATCATTTGGGGAGAGAGTGCATGTCACACAAATGAGTATACACACCACTGCCACCCACCCACCAGAAACACACCAACCAAACACACAGGACTAAGATACACTGAACAAAGTGACTATGAGAGTAAGAACACTATCCTAACTACAGAGACTCCCAGCACCTAATGGAGCAGAAACTGTGTATGTCCCCTAGAGCCAAGTGCCGGCTGATGCACAGCTGAAACAGATGAAACTGCATATGGAGAAGACAGCTTGTCACCTCTGCTCCCTGACCAGGACCACATGGCCTGGGACTGTACCTTGAATGGTCTGTGGCTTGCTGGCATTGCTGAAGTCACAGATCTTCTCCCAGTTGGCCCTCACTGCCTCTGGGGTCATGGGCTGATTCCTCTGTCTGACAATGGCTCCAAGGGTCTGCTCCCAGCGCACTAGTTATGGAAACAAAACTACAACTCTGAGCACATGGCTTCAAGGACAGAACATATGATGTTTAAGAGCCATCTCCAAGAGAAAGGAAAACCCTAGAGAAAAGTCATTCCAGCCTCTGAAGCACTCTACCAAAAACCTTAGAATACATTTTTCTTTTAAAACCCCATTAGGAGAAATGTCAGGTTTTTAGAGAAAGATCTGCAGCTGAAGGGCAGAGGGAAATGAACAGGCGCAAAGCATAAGAACATAAATGGATGATAATACTGCAGTAAAGCCTACCACTTTGCATGACAACTTAAATAATACAAAATGAAATTAAAATTTAAAAAAAGAAATATCTGACGCCGAAGAGAAACTTCTCTAACTCTGTCAGGAGCTGCTAAGAGCAGAGTCTCCAGCTGAACCTGGGGATGCAGTTACATGTAGTCACACCAATCACAGACCATGTAGCAAAAGATACTCTACTTTCCTTGTTTGTAGATAAAGACTGGCAGGACAAAGTATGCTGCTGTAAATTGAGAACTAGACATGGCAGCAAACAGAGGTTCCAGTCACAAGTCCTGAACAACAGCCACCAACTATTCCCCTTCAACCTTCCTTTGCACTTCCTCTGTTCCCACAGCCCCACCAGAAGTACTGGTGCTCTTAAGTTCTCTTGAGGAGTTAACATTGTTTTCTCTTTAAAACATTCCATAGGGACAAATAACTATGATGGTGGGTAGGCACTGGTAACCATTCAATTTAAAACATCCTAAAGGATAAAAAGGATGCCAGTTTCTAGATTTTTTTTTTCTTTCTGTAAAAGTGTCCATATGTTGCTGTTACTGCAACACTTACCTTACTATTTAAAATGTGATTTAAATGACATTAAGATAATTCAACGCTTAAGAAATGTAAGTCACTTTATGCTTAAGTCATTAATGAATATATATATATATATACATATATACATACCCTACACTATCTATGATACCCTACACTCTAGTGATATAAGTCTTCTATATAATTCAATTAATTTTATGGTTAATTTTGATACCAGCAAAAAAATTAAAAGCAAACTGAGATCCTGAATTTTCCACTTTTTTCTTTGGTTTTGCTTTGTGTCAAGTCAGGGTTTCTTCATGTAGCCCTGGCTGTCATGTAGATCAAACCCATCTGCCTCTGCCTCCTAATGCTGGGACTAAAGGAGTGCACATTTTTTTAACACTACTACATTTGGAACCCAGAAGGTTTAAGAAAATATCATGAGTATAGCCAAATGAATTCCTGTGGGGATATAATCCCCACAGATCAACCGCATCTACTGTCTCCAAATGCTGTCCCCTGTGCTCTTACTCACTCCTGGCATCTTACATACCAACCCCAGTTCCCCTTCCTCCCTTCTCCCAAATCCCCACCTCTCCCCATCCCACCCCCCACCTCAGAGGGGGTAAGACCTTCCTTGGGAAGTCAATAGTCCCTCCCCCCTGTATCAAAGCTGAGCAAGGTATCCCACCATAGGGAATGGGCTCCAAAAAGCCAGCTCATGAACCTGGGATAGGTTCTGGTGCCAGACATCTTAAATTCTAAAAAGAGACTACATGAGAGGATTGGAGAATCTGCCTTTCCATCTAGAATAGGCTCCTCCCACCTTCAGATAGCTCTCTCTCCTCTCTCTCTCTCTCTCTCTCTCTCTCTCTCTAACTCACTATTCAGCAAGAAGAACATGGAATGCCAACAAAAAGAAACTACAGTATCAGACAGAAGTGGTTAAGATAAACCAAGTGCTACCTATAGGGATAGCATACAGGTCCTTAAAAGTACAGGAGGCCTGAAGGATAAGTCCCATGCTTTAATATATTTTGCTGGAACAGAATTCAAGTCTGAGCATGTGTACACTAGTGATTAGGCATTTGACAAGATATTTATCCATCTCTACTGGCTCAATAGGCTATAAAATTAAAAAAAAAAAAATATCACAAGGCAAAACCCAACAGAGACTTACATTTTCCAATCCAGCCTCCTCCGACCTGATAAAAAGGGAAAAGCATATCATTAATGTAAATCATTAAGAGAGCATTTTAATTATGAGGAGCTCTAGGATGCTAGATGACAATGAACAACGCATATAGCACTGCACAAACCCCCTGCTCCAAGCCTTTGCATCAAAGCAGAAGCCTGCAGCCGGCAACCCTGTGGGGTTGCATGTGGCTGAGATAAGGTAAAGGACCGCACCCTCATTTCCATAGGAAAATATGTGTTTTATTTCTGCAATATTTTAGAGGTCATTCAAGTAAGCTTTAGGAAAGACAAGTATCTGATTAAAGAAACTCATATTTTCACACACTACTATTGGCCAGAACTTCCTGAAATTCCTCATGCATAACAGAAGAAACATCAGTACCAGACACCTTAGTAGAGCTATGTGTGGTGATTTGACCCCCATAGACTCATGTGTTTGAATTTTCGGCCCATTGAGCATGGCACTATTAGGAGGTTTGTTGGAAGAGATGTAGCCTTGTTGGTGGAAGTATGCCATTGTAGGTGTGGGCTTTGAGGTCCTAATATGCTCAAGTTATACCAAGTGTGTCAAACAGTCTCCTGCTGCTGCTGCCTGCAGACCAACTACCTCTGCAGCACTATGTCTGCCTATATGCTGCCATGTTTCCTGCCATTGAGATAATGGATTACACCTCTGAACTGTATGCCAGTCCAATTAAATGTTTTCCTTTATAAGAGTTGCCATGGTCATGGTATCCCTTCATAGCAATAGAAACCCTAACCAAAACACTATGCTCACACTTTTTATAATATGTCCAATTAATGGTTGATTAATCAGCTTCAGTTTGACCACAGGCAAGGACAATGAGGAATTCGGGAAAGAGGTTTTCAAAAGGCAACTTAAAACTTTCCAACACTGGCCTTTCAATGAATAATCCTCAAATTGTTTGTCACTGGTTACTTAAAAGCAAACCAGCACAGGGCACCTTTCTGACTGACTCAAAGCTTTCAGGTAAATGATATGGTTGGATATTTCTTCCTAAACATTCATTCTACATTTGGGACCACATAGAATCACCTAAGCTGATGACAAAGTCCAAGTCAACATAACAAAACATGGTTATTTTCCTCTGCGAGCTGGAAGACATTTTTCCTGCTAAAGGCTCAAGCCATTCTGGGCAAAACACAGCTTCCGCTGCCCACCTCAGCAAACACTATGAGCAGATCTTCTCATAGCAACTGGTTCTTTATCCTTTCTCCATTGGCCTGACTTCCTGTTCTTGCCATCTCATTAGAATCTTACTAAGCCTTTCCTCTGGTTGCCCTTTAGGTCTTTAGAAGGTGTTTAAGGGTCAGTATCTCTAACTCTGGACAACCTTTCCTGACTGAGGTGTTTCTCCAGCAATATGGTAATAACATCTCCTTTAACTATACTATGAGTGAAGAAGCAAACTACAAACTCTTAATCAGGGGCCAAAATAACCTCACCAATTGGATCAATCTGCATCTACTACTACCAACTCCAGGAATCCATCAGAACTGAGCAAAGCATACTTTCAAGTTTAAACTCAGGTTATTACAGTTATTTCTTACTATATTTTTTCAATTGTATATATCAAATGTTACTCAGTTTTAAAAAGTCCATATATAGTAAGAGAAAATAACATAAGACTTTAAATGTATGCATGATCTCAGTTGTATGATTACAGAGATGAGAATGTATATAAACTATCCATCTGAAAGAATAGTCTTTGTAAAATGCACACATAATAGAAGACTGGAAAGAGATATTTTTAAAAATTAGTAGTAGTTCTCTGGATAGTAACAATGTATGGTTTTCATTTTTTCCTATTCACATTCCTATGTATTTAAGATTTCTACAAAGATGATATATTATTTTGTACAGTTAATAATAATGTAACTATAAAGAAGTAAGTAATATTTTGGTTCTTAGCTAGGTAAAAAGAGGTCAGACCAAATATCAAATTGTAAGTACCTCAATATCATTAAATTTTTCTATTCTCTAAAATTAAGGGTGCAAAATTCTTTCTAAATCTAGTTTCTATAACTTACGTTCAGTTGGTATGATTACAAGGTGGAACACATAGCTGTGCCCAAATATATAGAGACCTTTTCTCCTTAACTCATTTATCAGCTTTTAATTCAAATGAAATTGGCTAATAATAATTACTTCAAACTGAGGCAGCTTCTTATGCTATTAAGAAGTATTTTCAATGCTACAGTCTATATATTCTAGGTTCGTTGTTGCCAGAGTATCAAAAATGGGGTAAAGAAAGGTCTAATATACAACAATTTAGGCTAAAATAAGGGATCAAACACAAATGGATATAAAAATATGTAAATTAGCCAGATCTAGTGATGCACATCTATAATTCTGCCTACCTGAACCCCTGAGGCAGGAGGAGCTCAAGTTCAAGGCCTACCTGGGGCTACAAACTAAGTTAAATGCTGGCCTAGGTAAGAACCTATCTAAAAATAAAAATATAAACACAATAGAACTAAGATGGTGACAGAGCCCTTTCCTTGCACAAGACCTTAAATCTAACCCCTGGTAATACAAATGATTCCAACAAATGGTGGTCTATGTGTCAATTTTGTCTTTATAATAAACATAGAAAGCTTCATAGTAGGAGAAAATAGAAAAGCTTACTGCTGAATTTAAAATAAACAAGCTGTATTAATTGATCTGTCATACTCAAACATTATTTATAACTAAAATTGGAAAAAGGAAATACTAGGCTCCCATGCCAAGGGTTTTAATAATTTGTGGTTGTCACAAAGACCCCAAGAAAACTAAAGTTCTGCAGGATTAATTCACACCATAACACTTTGAGCTAGCGAGTGCTAGGTCAAACATTCACATTCTGGCCTAGTTGAGTTTAAACGCCTGCTTTATCATTCAGCTTCTTAAATCAATGAGATTTTCTATATTTTACTAAACAAATCAAATCAACCATATTGCAATTAGGGAGAAATAGTAAAAATGGACAGCTATGAAAAAAAAAAGAGTTTAAATGATAATGTCACTTTCTTAAAAACAAAACAAGGGGGGTGGTCATGGATCCACACTTGCCTGTTTAAAACAATGTCTTGCTATGTAGTCGCGTAGTCACAACAGAACACAAACTCACACTTTCCTACCTCAGCCTCCTCCAGAGTGCTGGGATAACAGTGTAAACAGTGTTTATCACATTTCCTGGTTTAACACTTGTTCCTTAACAACATATATATATATATGATATCTGACAAATTAAGTGATTCAACTAATACAGATTTTTCTAAATGTACACATTTGGGAAATACTAATATACAATCTTTTAAAAATCTAATAACATTAACAATGCTTTAGAAAAAGAACAAAGTTTCAAAATACCTCAAATAAACCACCATTTTCCTCACAGCTCTCATGGCAAAGCCAAAGTACCAGAGGGGACACATACTCTGGCTTCAGGGCGTCAATAATATCTGAAATAAATACAAGAACATCTATAAGTAAGGGCACATAGAGGTTTCAGAAATCATTTTCCTTTTACTTTCTGAAAGTATTTTACATCAATAATCAGAGACTTTTAAAATAAATGTGAACGAAATTATTATACAGATAATTAATCTAAGCTTAAAAGCTTTTAGCACTTTTTCATCCCAGCTGAGAAAAACCTAACATACTCTCAGGTTTTTCCAATCACAGACTTCACATGTGCCTTTCAATAACGGGTTGCATATATTCACTGAAAAAAAATTTTTTTTTTTTTTACCTGAGCTGCCTAGGCAAGAACTGTTGAGAAAAATAAAACAAAAATTGGCAATCTTAGGTACCACTCACTCACAGGGTCCTTTAACTCAGCTTGCTGTTTAATAAGACTCTATGAACTGTTTAACAAGAACCTAGGAAACTAGCATCTTTGGCAAGTGTCAGCACAGATAATGACTAAGAGGGAACTACAGCTGTACAGGAGAGGAAAACTGTAAGAATGACCTCCCACTGCGCTTCTCCGAGCAGTGTACAAGTGCAGAAAATGAAAGCAAAGACCTGGACTTCAATGGTGGCTCTGCAGGCACAAGACTCAACTCTACTACTCCTGGGTCTTCATCAGTAAGCTAGTAATTTAAAGTACTTCCCCTGCCTGTGGTACTAAGATGTACCAAGTTCAAATAAGAAATGACTATAACCTGTAATAACTTATTTGTTTATGACACATTATAACTGTACCTAAAGGATTGTGTTGAGTGTAATATTTAATTGACAACCAAATACAATTATACTTAGATGGAAAAAAAAAAAAAAAAAGGTTTGCTTTCTGGGTTTTTGAGACAGGGCTTCTCTGTGTAATCCTGGCTGTTCTGGAACTCACTCTGTAGACCAAGCTAGCCTCAAACTCACAGAGATCTGTCTGCCTCTGCCTCCTGAGTGCTAGAATAAAAGGTATGTGCCACCACTGTCCAGCAAAAATTTTGATATAAAATGTAATTGCATGCTACATGCAGTTTTGCTTGCCAATCTTTGCCTAGGCAATTCTATTTTTCTTCTGAAAAAAAAAAAAAAAAAACTGTTACTTTGTTGCTCAAGCATCAGGGATGCAGTTATTACAAAAGAAACTTAAAGGAAGCCTAAACACAGAAAATGAAGAAAGTCTCAACCAAGAGAACACAGGGGGGAAAAACTGCATGGCAGAAACAAAAGATGAACAAAGAACTAAGAAACAGTCCATCATACCAACACTATATATAAACCAACAAACCCCTGAGGGTGATGAAGATGAGGAAGAGGAGGACCACAATAGTAAGTCAGGAAGAAATAAACAACAGTCCAACAAACAGAGAAACAATGAAATCAAAAGCATCAGAAAACCTCTCTCAGAAATCCAAAATGTAAATACCCTTAATTTCCCAATTAAAATGTGAGGATTCACTGAGTTTTAGAACACTATGCTTCCTTTGTTGTCTCTCTGGAATAAACCTCACTGGCAAAGACACACAGTTAAGAAACACTCTATGTCAACTTACCAAACAAGCATAAGCTAGGCATACACCAGTGCAGATGTGATAATTACAGAAAAAGTAAACTTCAAACCAAGAGCAGTCAGAAGGGGCAAAGACCAGCACAACACATTAGCAACATAGACAACACATAAAGAACATGGGACTGGGGAAACAGCTCAGCAGCATAAAGTGCTTGTGCCTGCACAAGCTGGCTAGCAAGGCTAGCTATACCGGCAAGCTCAGGATTTGATTTGAGAGGCGCTGCCTCGATGTATAAGATGTCGGGTAGTCGACTCACAGCATCAGCCTGGGGTCTTCACATGCACATGCACACCCACATCCACACATTTAAAAGCATAGCATGCATATGCAAACAAATGCACACCATACACACACACACATGGAAAATGGAAAAAGGAAGAAAAGAATACATAACAATCATAAATGTACATGCACAGACAAAACAAACACTAACGAACATAAAAAGTCAGATAGGTACCAATAAAATAAGAGTGGGTGACTTCAACACCCTTCTCATCAACAGGTAATTTATATAGACAGGTAACCAATTTAAAAACTCAGATACAATCTGTACTATGGACCCAATACACTTAAAAATGACTTACAAAATGCCCATCTAACAGATGCAGAATATACATTCTTCACTGCAACCCACAGAAGTTCCTCTAAAATACATCACATTTTAGGACAGGAAGGAAGTCTCAAAAATACAAAAGAACTGATTCCTCCTGCCTTCTCAGATCATAGTGAGATAATACTCAAGATGAATAGCAAGAGAAACCACAGACACACACAAAACTTACAAACTGAACAATACACTTTTGAGTGACCAGTGTGGGTCACATTAAATAAATCAAAGCATTAATATCTCAAGTCAAATGTAAATGAAATCATAACTTATCAGAACTTGAGACCTCTGATGGTTCCAAACTTGGACTCTGACACACTTTAAAAAATAGAAAGTTAATCATCATAAAAGTATAGAATGCTTCCACTCCTCAATACTGCACAGCCATATCTAATGTAGCAACAACAGATTACATATCTGAGTGTTCCAAGACACAAACTCTATCTAACAGAGTCTCTAAGGAAACCCAAATTAACAAAAGGGCAAGCACAAGTGCTTGAAGAGATCAAAGTTACAAGATACATACTTACATATAATAAAAAGCAGTAGACAGCAAGCTGATAGCCAACATCAAATTACATGGAGAGAAACTCAAAGCAATTCCACTAAAATCAGGAACAAGACAACATTGTCCACTTTCTCCACATCTATTCAATATAGTACTTGAAGTTCTAGCTAAATAAGACAACTAAAGGAGATCACGGGGATACAAAGTAGAAAGGAAAAAGTCAAAATATCACTATTTACAGATGGTATGATAGTATACATAAGTGACCTCCAAAAATCTACCAGAGAACTCCTACAGATGATAAACACCTTTAGTGAAGTGGCTGCATACAAGATTAACCCAAAATAATCAGTAGCCCTCCTATACACAAACAATAAACTGGCTGAGAAAGAAACCAGGGAAACAACACCCTTCACAATAGCTACAAATAATATAAAATATCTTAGTGTAACTCTAACCAAGCAAGTAAAAGACCTGTATGGAACAATTCAAGTCTTTGAAGAAAGAAATTGGAGAAGATATCAGAAGACAGAAAGATCTCCCACACTCATGAATCGATACAATCAACCTGGTAAAAATGGCAATCTTACCAGAAGCAATCTACAGATTCAATGCAATCCCCATCAAAATCCCAACACAATTCTTCACAGACCTTTAAAGAACAATACTCAACTTCATAGGGAAAAACAAAAAACCCAGGATAGCTAAAACAATCTGTACAATAAAGAACTTCCAGAGACATCACTATCCCTGATTTCAAGATCTACTACAAGGCTATAGTAATAAAAACCACATTGTATTAGCATAAAAAGACAATAAAAATCAATGGAATCAAATTGAAGATTCATATGTAAATTCACACATGTATGGACACCTGATTTTTGACAAATAAGTCAAAATTATACAATAAAAAAAGAAAGCATATTCAACCAATGGTTCTGGTATAACTTGACATCGGTCAGCATGTGAAAGAATACAAATAGATCTATTCTCTATCACTATGTACAAAATTCAAGTACAAGTGGGTCAAAGACCTCAACAAAAATCCAGATATGCTGAACCTCGTAGTAGAGAAAGTGGGAAATAGCCTTGAATGCATTGGAATAGGAGACGACTTCCTAAATAGAACACCAACAGTGCAGGCACTAAGATCAACAAGTAATAAATTGGACATCGTGAAACTGAAAAGCTGCTATAAAACAAAAGACACTGACAATAGGACAAAACAGCAGCCTGCAGATCCCCAAATTAGACATCAACAAATCAAATAATCCAATTTTTAAAAGGGAGTACAGATCTAAACAAAGAATTCTTAACAGAAGAATTTCAAATGGCTGAGAAATGTTTAAAGAAATGTCCAGCATTCTTAACCATCAGGGAAATGCAAATACCTGTCAGGATGGCTAAGATAAAAAAACACTGATGACAGCTTATGCTGTGGATGTGGAGAAAGGGGAACACTCCTCCACTGCTGCTGGGAATGCAAAATTGTACAGCCACTTTGGAAATCAATATGGTGGTTTCTCAAAAAATTGGGAATCAATCTTCCCCAAGACCCAGCTATACCACTCTTGGGCATACACCCAAAGGATACTCAGTCATATCACAAGGGTACTTGCTCAACTATGTTCACAGTAGTGTAAGTCATAATAGCCAATCCTAGAAATAACCTAGTGTTCCTCAACTGAAGAATGGATAAAGAAAATGTGGTACACTAACACAATGGGGTATTACTCAGCTGTTAAAAAAACAATGACTACCAGTGGAGGGACTGGGACAGCAACCCAGCCACATAATCTTTGACCTACAGTCTATCTTGCCTATGGGATTGCTGGAGTAAGGGTGACACAGAGATTGTGGGAGTGGCCAATCAAAGACCAATTCAGTCTTGACCCATGCCGTGAGAGTGAGTCCACCCTTGACACTGCCTAGAGCACCAGGACCCAGAGGCTGGATGGCCCAGAGACCTAGGAGAGAACCAAACATGACTGGAGAAAAAAGTCAATGTAATGATGCCTAACGGTGATTCTGCTATACTCATAGATGGATGCCTACCCCAATTGTCATCAGAGTCTTCATCCAGCAACTTATAGAAACAGATGCAGAGACCCACAGTCAAACAGTAGGCCAAGCTCAGGGAATCCTGAAGTGAGGAAGGAAGGATTGTAGGAGCTAGACAAGTCAAAGACATTACAGGATCAACTAACCTGGGCTCATAGGAGCTCACAGAGACTGAACAACAGGGAGCCTGCATGGGACTGATGGAGGCCCTCTGAATATATGTGACAGTTGTGTAGCTTGGCCTACTTGTGGATCTCTTTGCAGTGAAAGCAGGGGCTGTTGGATTCTTTTACTGGCTTTTGCAACCCTATTCCTCATACTGGGTCGCCTTCTTCAAACAGAATACATTGGGAGGTGCTTAGTCTCACACTACAACCTGATATACCATGCTCCGTGGACATCCATGAGAAGTCTGCCTTTTTATGAATAAAAATGGAGGAGGAGTACATGGTGGGGGAGGCAGATGGGGCAAACTGGGAGGAGAAGTGGGAGAGAACTTCGATCAGGATATAAAATAAACACAGACAGACAGAATATAACTCATGCAGTGGGAATGGAGATATCAGATAAACTAATGGAGGAAGCTAAAAAAGGCACAAAAAAATGAAAAAAAAATGGATTTGATACCTACACCTAAAGCAAAGAATATGCATAGCCTAACTCCTAACAATATAAAGAAAGAGATCTCATACAAAGATCAATTTGCCTCAGTTCATATTACCTAAAGCATCGTGTTCAAATTTAAAGCAAAAAAAAAAAAAAAAGAGTCATACTAAAAGGCAACAAGCGTACAGGCTGAGGAGCAGGTGGCAGAGCCAGGTGCAAAACCAGCAGAAACTTAGAAATTATCAAACTGGGAAGATAAGACAACTGACTAATATGCTAAGGGCTCTAATAAAAAAGAAACAATACACAGAGACAGATGGATACCAAAGAAAACAAGCCAAAGAAAGGCAAGTATTACGTTATCTTTCATAAGAAGAATCTAGACTGAAGAAAAAAATACATGAAACAAGAAGGGGTGCATAAGGGTTAACAAAGGAGGACATGAGGGTACAAAAGATCAAAATACTTCATATAAAGTATGAAATGTAATGTGACCGATTATTTTATATGATAATATATGTAAAGAAAAAATTTACAAAGAAAGAAAATGCTTTGTGAATCAAAATCACTGTAACGGAAATGAAGAAGCAATGCACTAGAGGCTGGGTCACCACAACTCCTGATGGAGGCTGGGTCACCACAACTCTTGATGGAGGCTGGGTCACCACAACTCCTGATGGAGGCTGGGTCACCACGCGCTCCTGATGGAGGCTGGGTCACCATAACTCCTGATGGAGGCTGGGTCACCACAACTCTTGATGGAGGCTGGGTCACCACAACTCCTGATGGAGGCTGGGTCACCACGCGCTCCTGATGGAGGCTGGGTCACCATAACTCCTGATGGAGGCTGGGTCACCACGCGCTCCTGATGGAGGCTGGGTCACCACGCACTCCTGATGGAGGCTGGGTCACACAACTCCTGATGGAGGCTGGGTCACCACAACTCCTGATGGAGGCTGGGTCACCACACACTCCTGATGGAGGCTGGGTCACCACACACTCCTGATGGAGGCTGGGTCACCACACACTCCTGATGGAGGCTGGGTCACCACACACTCCTGATGGAGGCTGGGTCACCACGCGCTCCTGATGGAGGCTGGGTCACCACACGCTCCTGATGGAGGCTGGGTCACACAACTCCTGATGGAGGCTGGGTCACCACGCGCTCCTGATGGAGGCTGGGTCACCACACGCTCCTGATGGAGGCTGGGTCACACAACTCCTGATGGAGGCTGGGTCACCACGCACTCCTGATGGAGGCTGGGTCACCATGCACTCCTGATGGAGGCTGGGTCACCACGCGCTCCTGATGGAGGCTGGGTCACCATAACTCCTGATGGAGGCTGGGTCACCACACACTTCTGATACCAAAGGCAAAGTGAAACAGGAGTGAAGCCAAGTATGGTGATGCACACCTGTATAATCCAGGGAAGTCAGGGCAGGAACCTTGAGGCAGGTCCTGATGTAGAGGCCACAAAGGAGTACCCCTCACTGGCTTGTTCCTCATGGCTCTTTCTTATACCTCAGCCTGCTTTCTTATACCATCCAAGACAACCTGCCCAGAGGTGATAACACCCACTCATTTGGGATGTGCCCACCAACATCAATCTTTAATCAAAAAATGCTCTACAAGCCAATCTGGGCATTTTCACAGTTGGGTTTCTGTCTTCCCAATGATTGCTGCCTGTGTCAAGTTAACATTAAAAACTACCTAGTGCAGTAGCTTTAGTCACAATTAACAAAAACAAGAAGTAACCAAAAGGTTTAAGTAATTACAAACTGTGGTACTCTTCTACCATGGAATATGTCCAAATAATACATGAGGTTCAATAACCTCTCCCCCCCCCCCAGAGGCATCCAGAAGGAAAAGGGGAGGAGTAAGTGAGGCACAGGTGAATTCTGTATGATACAGTAAAAGTGACACATAAGGTTATGTATTATGGCTGCACATGACAAGGTGAACCCTAACATAACTACAAATAAATCAGTACTGGTTCATCAATTATAACGAGACACCACAAGCATGAACAGGAAACCATGAAAGGAAACACACTGCCCAATTTTCCTATAAAGCTAAACTGCTCTAAAAATAAAGCATGTCACATTTTATACTTATGCCATGATTTCACATTACATTTTATATATTATGTGTAAGTAAACTATTATTACAATAAATAACTGTGTAGTAATTATAAAATAGTAAGAGTGTTATTATCCTGTCTAAAGAAATAGATGTGTGCATCTAACTATGCAGAGAAAAAGGATGAAAGTTCACTTCTATGATGAAATTGATACTCACTTTTCATCCTTTCCTCTATACTCTGAATTTTTCAACAAATTACACAAAATGCTTTTGAAACTGGAAAGAAATTTTCTTGTAAGGATTCAGAAAATCAAATCCTTTTGCCGAGCTTACGCCACACACATACACGTGACAGAAGTGCAGGGCCGGGGCACACTCACCTTTTGGCAGCACAGTCTCTGTCATCCGTGACCCAGCATTGGGGGCAATGGTGTTACAGTGAATGTTGTTTTTCCTGCCTTCAATTGCCAGGGTATTGCAGAGGCCCAGAACGCCCATCTTCGCAGCACTGTAATTTGCCTGGCCAAAGTTGCCATATATCCCAGAAGCTGAGGAAGTCATAAGGATCCTAAAGGAAAACAACCCCTTCAACATCATCTCTCCCATGTTTCACTAACACTGAAGCCCTGACTCTATCCTGATGTTGCACATAACATCCTTCACTTCTCCCAGCTGTGAGTCATATAATTAGAATAATGTTGATTGAAATGTGCTATTTCAAAACTCAACTATAGGATTCAAGTACATAGAATCCCTGAACAACAACGATGTTTATATACTAAATCAAGACCAACAATATTTAGAGATATAAAACTAGCAACATGTAAATTAAAATTTTAGCAAGAAATATTAGGTTGAACAGTTGTAATTCTTTTGGGGGGGGGCTTTTCGAGACAGGGTTTCTCTGTATTGTTTTGGAGCCTGCCTGTCCTGGAACTCACTCTGTAGACCATGCTAGCCTCAGCCATGAACTCAGACATCTGCCTGCCTCTGCCTCCCGAGTGCTGGGATTAAAGGCGAGAGCCACAAATGCCCGGCTTCAGTTATAATTCTTAATGGTCACCACTTGGCTGCTCAGTTTCTGGATAATACTAAATGCCATCTTAAAACCTAACCCAACTTCACCCTACTTAGAACAAATATATCAGATCATTTACTTTCAACTGTCAAAACAAAGATAAAATAGAAGTCACAAAAAAAAAAAAAAAAAAAAAAAAAAAAAAGCATCAGTAACAATTTGCTTCTACAACTACCTGAAGCCTAAATTACAGGGCTGAGCCTGACATCAGAGTGGATATTATAAGTGGACGCATCAGAAGAAAGGGCAGCTCATCTCTGTCCAGCCAGTTACTGGGTGCTCAAATAGCATTCTGTTTGTGAGCAAATCTTCAGTGCCCACACTGCTTTCTGAAGTTGTTGTGTGCAATTTCCTCCAAAACTAAAAATATTTCATCTTGGAAGGATGCTTATTAAGCCACACAATGATTACAGAGGTTAGCAACAGGGCATGCTAAGGGCAGGTAAACATTCCATGCTACTAGGTAGCACATTAAGCTACTCAAATACTCCAGGAAGTCCCTGAAATCAACAGGATTCACTAAACCCTGCCCTCCCCAAGGGTATATATGTAGTAAAGACAGCTGCTTTTGGCCAACCTGACCAGTCTGGAAGAGGCTCAACTCCACTTGGAAAGTCACTCTCCAACTTGTTGAGCTTCCTGCAGGCCATTTAGGGAACTCCAGGGTTCCCGTTTTTGTGAACTGCCACCCATGCTGAGGTGGAATTTTGGTGATACAGCCATCTTTGAGTCATTTCTGCTCCTATTAGTGGCCCCTCACACATATTCCTGAAATTAACTCCAATAAAACTCATTGTTTTGTTTTACCAAGTTGAACTTGTTGGTTTCTGTACTTCTGTCTGTTGTTGGTTCCCTATCTGGGATGAACAGACATTGATTCACATCTTGACTCCTAAAGAATAGTGTCACACAACGAAAGTGATGAAGGCTCATGGGAAATATATTAATAACAAAAAGCATGTGGTGAAAGAAAGATAGAAACCTACTAAGTGGGCACTAAATGACACTTGAAAGCCTGAACATGTATAAGAATACTTGCCCCAGTACCAAGCAATTGTTTAAGAGCACTTGGTGCAAAAATCTTCAATCCTCTCTGGTGACTTTAGGCAACTCTACCTTCCATAATTCTGTTTCTTCATATGATCCCACGCTGCCCGGGTCACTTGGAAGGAACCCCGCAAATGAACTCTCTGAATTATATCTAAAAATCAAATTGTGTTTATTATATATTTTGTCAAAAGTTAGCTATGTTTTAGAATAAACTTAAACAAACATATACTTATGCAAACTTACACAACACATCATTTTATATTGAGCATTCATAACTACCTATTGTCATACCCAAGTAATCACTCTTGCTTTGTTACAATTATGCTACCAATCAATAATTCATACCCATATTTATGAGCTTTTCCTATAATTTATAAAATTACTGTAATGCTTGCATATATCTAAACACAATGCTATATTTAATTAATGCTCAGGTACTACTATAACCTGAGAGGGCAGGGAGACAGTTCAGTCGGCCTTTTATATCTCTACTTGAATGTGTACCAACACAAACTTATCCTAAGCAAATTCTGGCCACCCTCCCTTCAATAAGCACATGCAAGGATTTAGTGCTGCTGGCAAAGGCATTGTCACATAAGCACAACCTGAGTTAAGAGTCCCAAAGCCATGTGGAAGAGTTAGGCACAGGGTAAATGTGTGCAATCCCAGTGCTGGTGAGGTGGAGGTCCCTGGGACCACCTAATCAGCAAGCCCAGCCTAATTAATGAGCTCCAGACCAATGAAAGGCCCTATCACAAAGGAAGCAGGTAGCATTTCTGAGGATGACAATCCATCGTTGTCTCCGACATATAAATGTATATGCATATCCACCTGAAATTCACATGAACTAATATATGTGCATTAAAAGCAAATATCTACATAAATACCCATGAATTTTACATATATAACTTGTACTCAAAATAACAAAACATAGTTAGACCACATTGCTCATCATCAGGGAATACTTAGAAAATACTATTATTGCTACTTTCAAATGAGTTAGAGGGGTCTGCTTTCAAAGACTTCAATCCCATGGGATCACATTAGAGAAACAACTCTAAATTGAGTGTGTCTCGTTCTGACCATTCTTTCCTATTTGGTTTCACTCTGGAACGACCCCCCCCATTTTTATTTTTATTATTATTTTTGGGAGTTGGCAGGGTTTCTCTATATTGTTTTGGAGCCTGTCCTGGAACTTGCTCTGTAGACCAGGTTGCCCTTAGACTCACAGAGATACACCTGCCTCTGCCTCCCAAGTGATGAGATTAAAGGCATGCACCACCAACGCCCAGTCCAAAATTTTTTACATACAAATATTAAATGAAAGGGAGGATAAATTCAAAACCAAGGCTAGAAAAAGGAGTGACGGGTTGGGGGACTAAATAGGGTAGAAGCTCTTCTGTCAGATGGGAAAGTCTCACTTGCCAGCCAGTCTTCTCTCTCTCAGCTTCCTTTCCCAACCGTCTCAAGGGGAGGGGAACTAAAAGCGTTCCTTTGCTTAATTCTGAGTCACAAGACTACCATGCCTCTTCCAAAAGCTCTAGGGCCAGAGATGAACTCTTAGCAATGATGGGATCATCCCAGCTCAGGTGCTATGCCTGCCACTGTCTCAGCCACCAGTTTGTTTACTTGTGATGGCTAATGAAAAAAACCACAAACAGGAACAGAAGAAAAATAAACTACCAATGTGATTTGGTCATTGTACAAACTCAATCACTGCAACATGGGAAAGGAAAATGAAAAATATTTCCTATTTATTAGAAACTTCAGATATGTGTGTGCAGGTTCTGCCCTACCCTTTTCCTAAATTCCTTTCTTTTTAATTTGTAGTGCTCTGGGCTTTCCTAAATCCTGCTCTGCTCATGGGGGTAGGGGGCACAGAAGGGGACACAGCTAGATAAAACATGGTAAAAGCTATTAAAAAGAGTTAATAATGCTTTTTAAAAAAAGCTGACAACCTCTTAGGGAGAGAAAAGGAGAAACATTGCAATAAACAAAATTATTTTTAGTAACTTCTACAAATGACTGAAGTATTTTTTAACAAATGTTTAGAAATATGATACTTCTAACTATATAAATCACTGTCAATAGCCTAAATTCATTTATATTAACAGCAGCAGATAGAAAGTATTTCCTTAACTATATAAATGCATTAAATATTAAAAACACAGAATGGATAGTTACACTCTACAGAAGCATAAAAATAGCTTACCCCAGTCTTCATCACTTATCCTGGAGAAGGAACGGTCCCTCAGGATTCTAAAATATTGAAAACATGTATGGTCAAAGTGAAAAGTATAATAAATAGTGTAAACACAATGGTGTGTACTTTATTGAAAATGAAAATAAAAACTCACCCAGCATTGTTGACCACAACATCTACAATATAAAAACGATCCAAGTTACATAAATAAAAGCAAGCATATTAATTTGTACTTGCTTACAATTCACATCTATTTTTAAAACCTGTTTTTAAAAGTTCCCCAAGAAAAACTAAATACAACAAGAATGCTGTCAAAGCAAGATTTATACCTATAGCAAAAAAACTTAAAAAGCACAATCACTATGCCTTATCTTCCTGTCAGATGTAACCATTTAAATTTCCTTTCTTCTACCAAAACCCTTGTAGCTCACAGAGCTAGCCACACCCTTAAGTTCTGAGGACTCAGAATCAACTGGAAACCATCTTGTCCTTAACTTCAAAATCACTCAGAAAGTTAACAGTTCTCTCCTTTTTCCTCAACAGTCAAAAGATCAAAACCTCCAGAAGGCCCTGGAGAAAGCACCAGGATTCAGGCCTGCAATCCAATCACTTGAGAAGTGAAGGCAGGATGCTCATGAGATAAAAGCCAGTCTCAGCTACACAGCAAGTTTGAGGGTAGCCTGTACTATTATATGAGACCACTGGAATCCTTTGGCTGTCCCCATCCTCTGCTCTGGGTACTTTTATGTCAACTTGACACAGGCTAAAGTCATCTAAGGTAAGGGAGCCTTAGATTAAGAAAATGCCTCCTAAAAATCTGACTGTAGGAAAGCCTGTTAGGCATTTTCTTTTTTTTTTTTTTTACATGTCGATCCCAGTTCCCTCTCCTTCCCTCCCTCCCTCTTTGCCCCTTCACATGCACCCTGACCACCCTCCCATCCCATCCCCCCCACCCCAATTCCACATGTAGGGCAATGCCATCCAGGTGGGTTCATGTAGATCTGTCAGGTCATTTGAAGTAGGGACTAGGACTTCTCTCCTCTCTCTAGATTAAGGCAGTATCCCTCCATGGGGGATGTGTTCCCAAGGTCATTTGTGCACCAGGGATACATCCTGGTTCCACTGTCTGAGGTCCCTTAGACTGCTCAGGCCTTCTGGCTGAGACCCATATTCAGGGGGGCCTGAGTCAGTCCCATGCTGGATTCCCAGCTATCAGTCTGGGGGCCCGTTAGCTCCTTCTTGTTCAGGTCAGCTGTCTCTATGTGTTTCTGCAACCTGGTCTTGTCCTCTACGTCTGCATCTGAATTCTAGTTCGACTCAGTGCTTAGGTATGGGTGTTTGCTTCTTAATTAATAATCGATAGGGAAGTACCTAGCCCATTATGGTAGTATTATCCCTGGGTTGGTAGTCCTGGGTTCTATAAGAAAGCAGGCTAAGCAAACCATGAGGAGCAAGACAGTAAACAGTATCTCCATGGCCTCTGCATGAGCTCCTGGCTCCAGGTTCCTGTCATGTTTGACTTCCTGTCCTGACCTCCTTTGATGGTGAACAGTGATACAGAAGTGTAAGATAAACTAACCCTTTCCTCCCTAACTTGCTTTTTGGTGATGGAGTTTCCTCATGGCACTAGAAACTGTAACTAAGACACTTACACATAATTCTACTAAATTTGTAAGACATAATTTGGTTATGGAGTTTCATCATGGCACTAGAAACCCTAACTAAGACACACATAATTCTACTAAATTTGTAAGACATAAGATCATTTAAACCTAAATGAACATAATTATTAAAAAATAATGCACCAGGTTCATTATTGCCAAAATACTGATTTAATTCAGAAATTTATTTAAGGCTTAATTGAATTATAATTAAAAAGGGCAAAAATTTTATGTTCATAATATTTTTTAATCATTTAAGGTGAAAAAAATTTTAAAAGCTGTGTGTGTATGATATTAAGATTATCACCTCAAGTCTATTATGAAGTAACACAGGTTAAATAAAATATTTGAATTATAAAACAAACCCCCAAATTTAATTAGCTAGAGAGATTTGTTTACTTAGCAAATGTCAATTCAAAAATATTATATTAGGAAGTTAGAAAGTGCTTCATTGGGACCACATCATAGTTAGTTTTCATTGTTAACCCAACCTACGATCACCTGGAAGAAAGTCTCACTGAAGGACTGTCTACATAGAGTTCACCTATGTGCATATCTGTGGAGGATAGCTTAATGAAGGTAATTGATATGTGACAACCTGGGCCACCACAGGTGGCATCGTCCTTAGGCAGGGCGTTTTAAACTGTGTAAGAACGGGGAAATGGAGCTGAGCACAGGCAAGCTCACATCCATGTCCCTGGTGCTGATTGCTGATAACGTGACTAGTGTTTAATTCCTGTCATGACTTCCCCACAATGACAGACTATAGACTAGATTTGCAAGTCAAAATAAATCCATTTCTCCCCTAAGTTGCTTTTCCTGGTGGTTTTTTTTGTTTTTGTTTTGTTTGTTTTGTTTTGTTTTTTGGCTGCTGCAACACAAATGGAACTTAAAGAAACCATAAATGCAAGAAAACATCACCTATTCTTCCGAAAGCATCCAGGGCTGTCTTCACAAGCTTCTCTCCTGCTTCAACCGAATCTGACAAGAGCAATGAGGACAAAACTGATGGGAGGTGTCATTCTGTAAATATGTTTCCCTTTTCCCTTGTAAGTTAATGAATAAAGCACTTTTGGCAAATAGGAAGGCAAAATAGCCAGGACTAGGAGCCAAGGAGGATTCTGGGAGATGTAGTGGGAGATTCAAGATGTAGGGACTTGAGAGAAAAGGTCCGGATCCTCTCTCCAGTAAGGTAAGGCCACTTGGAAACAGAGTAATAGAAATGGGTTAATATTTAAGACAGAGCTAGCCAATAAGAAATGCTAGTAATAGGCCAATAGCTTTATATCAATACAGCACCTCTGTGTGTTATTTGGGGCTGACACAGCTCTCGGACCAGGCTGGCAGGAAAACTACTCATAACACAAAACTTCAACCATTTCCCACACATCACTTCCTGTGGCTCAGAGCTCATGAGTGATACTGTTACCAAACAGAATTATACTCAAGAAAGGCATATAGCAATCAACACAGTCCAGTGTTACCAAAGAAATGTTTATGCCAGACAGCACAGAAAGGGTAGATTGAGATGAATAACAAATAACAAATGCTGGCAAGAACTAACCACATGGTAACACTGCCCAATAAAACTGCTTATGAAAAATGGAAGGGGTATGAAGTAATCACATGTGAATTAAAATTTCAAACTTCCTATGAAGTTAAAAATGTTCTATTTCCACCATTGTACAATATAGCAACCAATAATCACATGTGGCTACTGAGTGTGGCCAGCATAGTAGGCAAATACTTACTTTAATTGAATTTATATTTAATTTTACATAACTACACAGGCATTTCATCTTAATGGCAAATGAAAACGGGAGAAATGGAGGTACACATTTAATTTGTAAAAGCATATACATTATTATGCAACTGCATGGACTATCAATAAAAACACAGGTTTGAAATATTAAGCACAAAAAGAAAAGCAAACATTGGGGTTGGCATATTCAGCATATTCAGCTCTGCCAGCTGTCATTTTCTATCACCACTGCCTCTGGAAATACCATCAGTCCCCTCCTCGGAACCCAGGAATAATAGCATTCTCTTTCAGAAGACCCAGGAAATATTGTCACTCCTCTCCATGGCATCCACACAGTCCTTAGTCAGAGACACAGGTTGAGGCTAGAAGCTATAGCACATCCCTGTAATCACAGAATTTGGTAGGCTTGGGGGAAGAGTATCTTGTCTCAGGCCAAGCTGAACTACACAGCAAAAAACACTGCTATATCTGTGTGTGTACGTGTTGATATAGGCGTGTGTGTGTGTGTGTGTGTGTGTGTGTGTGTGCGTGCGTGCATGCGTGCGTGCGTAAAATGGCTTAAATATGCAAACACCTTTCAAAATGCTAGGAACCAGAGGCAGTTTTTTCTCAAATTTTGGAGGATTTGCCTACACTTACAGATCTATCTTGGGAATATAACCCAACTCAACACAAAACATTTATTCATGTGTCCTGTGTATTGCCCTACACTCACACCTGAAGGTAAGTTCATATATAATCTCTACTGGGCCTATTCAGAACTGACTACACCCTGTCAGGTGGGGTCGGTTGTGAAACGTTCTACCTCTAACATTATGTTAGCACTCAACAAGTTTTAAGCTATGATTTTCTGGTCACCAATGCTCACTGTCTAGATGATCACCAATGCAGACGTCCCACGTAAGAGCGAGGACTCATCCAGGTGAGCTCAGAGGCTGTACCAGGATCGAAAATTTAAAGGAAAAATTGAAACATTTTTTCCCCCAATCACCAATGTAGGGAGTTAAAAAAAAAAAAAAAGTAAGCATCTCATTAGCATCTCATTACTCCTTCAGATAATATGGATCAAATCCTACTTCTTCCCTGTAAGCTGTCAAAATGAACTCAAGCTACTACAACCTTGTTCCAGAGAAGTCAGTAGCCACAAGCTTAAAAAGTCAATCTATTCTACAAAGTCCTCTCCAACACCACTAGAGTAACAAATCAAAATGGGAAATCTGTATTTGCAGGGGTTTTTCTGTGTCATACTCATATTTAATTTGACACTTGAGTTTTTGCAAGGCTAAAGCTACATTCAGTAGTGACTGCTTGAGCACAACAGAAGATGGCAACTGATACAGCACAGGGCTGTTCCCCACTTAGCACAGTATACCGTGAGAATCTTAAAAGAATGCTGTGAAAATATGTCAGATCTGTAGTTTATACAAGCCTGTAAGAACTGTTGATGAAATTACCTACATCAAAAGTTTAGCAATTTCTCACATATGATATAAAGTATGTCCTCAAAAGGCTTGACAGATACAGGTAAAATCTAACTTCATAGTAACAGTGTAATGCTGAGTTATGCCTCAGAGATGACTAGTGTGAGCAACTTTCTTCAGTGGAAGGAAAGTTGACAATCTATACCTGTCACATACTGCTACTGGGATAGTCGACACCTGTCACATACCATAATTGGCCACTGCTTTCCCGCCTTTCCTCCTTATCTCTTCCACAACTTTGTCCGCGGCTGAGGAGCCTTTACCAACTCCCTTGAAGTCTCCTCCTAAGTCATTCACTGCAATACAAAAACAAGAAAACAGGTCATTTCTCACATCTTCCAAGTATATAAAATCCAAATTATTGGTGTATCTCTTCAATCTGCCCAGTTACATTATCACCAACCTTACTAAACACAAGGTAAATGTGTGGAAAGCAGGCCTCTTGGCTGGGGTGCAGCTCTACTGAACAAGGCTTGCCTCACATGTGCAGGCCCCAATTTATCTCCAGCACCAAGAAACCAAAGAGTCCAACACAGACACAAAGAGCAAAAATACTTAAACTCAGGTTCACATCATGAATTTTTTACTTGACTAAGCTTTTCCTCTTTTGGAATGGAAAGACATATGACAATACCTTTTGAAAACAAAGAGGTTTCTGGAAACTTTAAAACAACTGAACAAAGAAATGGGCCTAAAAATGACCTAATGAGTAGGGATGGAGAAGGGAGGTGAGGAGCAGGTATGGAAGAAGGGAGGAGATTAGATATGGTTGAGAATGCTGTATGCAAACGTGAGAATGGCACACTGAGCCAGCCCCATGAATACAAACAAGTAAAATGAGCTAACAAAATAAAAACTTAAAAAGAAAGCTACCAACAATCCATTTGAAAGCACTTAGCCGAAACAACTGAAATCAAAAGAAAAGGCAGTGGCAGCTCGGAGCACGGCAGCGCTGTCCACACCGCTAAGGTAGGGAAGTGATCCAGTGTCGACGGCAGGCACGTGTGTGATGAGGGTGAAGTATGACAACCAGAAAAGGACAAACACCAAGAGTCCCCTTCTATGTGGCTTTTGGTATAGTCAGATTCCTGCACTCAGACAAGACAGACGGTTCCTGGAACTGGGGGGGGGGGGCATTTTAACAGGCCCAAAGCTTCAATTATGCAAAATAAAGAGCTACACAGACTTACCGTGTAACTTAGTGCCTATAATAATAGTGTACTCTAAATTTAAAACTGGTTAGCAATCACAATGTCTTCTTACTACAATAAAGTTTTTAAAGAGAGTAAACACACACTATACAGTACCTTCCCCATGTCCAAAAAAATTATTTAATGTATGTTTGCATAGATATATGTACACTTGCAAATTTCCCTAAAACACAATGTCTAGAATTCAGAAAAACATCTATTGAAAGAGACCACAAATTGTATACCAAACTAATACGCTTTTCACTGGTCACAAGTAAATACACAAAATCTGCATACACTCAATTAGACAATTACTGTTATCAATTATACACTGACTATACTCAGGGAGAATCTACAGTGGGGCACATTAGGTGAGAGAATGATGTTAACCCTCAGGGTTTCTGACTTACTGAAAGGTACGTAAATAAGGGCAGATTTTAGCATAGAGTACTTGTCAGAACCAAAGTAAGCCAGAACTAGGGACAAATGGCAGTAATTAAAAAGTAACGTTCAAACACTAATGAGACATACAGACCAATGCCAAGTCACTTAGAAAAACAGGATTTAAGAAAAATATTTGGAGCTAGGCAGTGGTGACGGACGCCCTTAATTCCAGCACTCAGGAGGCAGAGGCAGGCAGATCTCTGTGAGTTCGAGGCCAGCCTGGACTACAAAGCTATTCAGAGAAACCCAGTCTCGAAAAATAAAAAAGAAAGAAAAATATTTGGAGTTGATTGCTGCAGGCAGGGGCAGGATGGGGGAGGACTCGGTTTTCTTTATGGGCCACTGCCAGTTTGACCATGTTTCAGTGAGTATATGGGCAACACAAATTAAACAACTCCTCCTCTCCCACCACCTCCTCTTCCACTACCACCACCTCCTTTTGAGGAGGCCTGGAAAGTGAGTGTGATCAGGGTACACAATGTGAAACTCCCAAATATTCAATACCAATATTATGTTGGCTGGGGTGAAGTATTTGGGGTGAAGACTGTAATGTAAGTGGATCATTTTTGTAGGGCTACCACATAATTTTGAGTATAAACCTAATAAATTACTAATAAATGGTGAGTGGTTACATATAAAAATAAAGTTTTTCAATATTGATGAGAGTTTTGTTTGTCTGTTTATTTTTCTCGAGAAAAACATCCCTTTTAATTGAAGTGAGGTGACTAAGGAGATAAAGGAAGGACAGAGAGAAAACCAACAGCTAGCCACACTAAAGAACAGCCCCGGGATCAGAAAGGGGGTGGGCTGAGGTTTGGTGGGGAAGAGAGGGGATGATGGGAAGGTGAGGGATTGACTGGTAAAACAACTTTGTTTCAATTTGAATTAAAAAAGGAAAAAAAAAAAAAAAGAACAGCCCCAGTAATGTGTTTTCAGTCCTTTTCTTTTTATTTATTTATTTATTTATTTTTAATAGAAGTGAGTTTTCCTAAATTTAGGCAGGGATATTTTCCTAATCGAGTAATATTGCCCATCTTGCTGAAAATTAAAACTCGCTGTAAAGACACAAGTAATAAGCAGGGTTACCTTACCTTCAAGACACGGGAAGGGGGATGATTCTTCAAAACCTGAAGTCTATTAATTGCTCATTTCCATGCAATTATTCAAATGACAGAAAACAGCTAGTTAAAAATATCAAAATTTGAGACAGGCAAGAGTTTTGGTGACTTTTTAAATTAATTTTACATTTTTAATTAAAATTATATTACTTCCCCTTCCCTTTGCTCCTTCTTTAAAAATAAAATAGCACAAGAACTTCCAAGACCAAAGTGACAAATACAGCATTTAAGTGGAGAATTGTTCCACTATGTAATGAAACACTACCCCCAAGTGGAAGCATTAGAAAGTGCAGCCAGGCACAATGCAGAGAAATGGGACACATTGTTAAAATCATGGAACAGATATTCTACATTAGAGGACTAAACTAACAAATTCACTCAGTCAGCAGGTTGCAATCATGGGGACATCAGAAACACCTGTTCAAGCACTGGATGGCTGGGAATGAAATAATTTACAGTTTGTTTGTAATCAAATATGAAAAGGATTGTCCGTACCCATGCTGTGTAACATGGCTGCCACTCCAACCCATGGTCAAAGTTCCAGATGCAAGAGTAACAAACCAAGCAGTTTATTCTTATGTTTGTTTCCTATCTTTTAACAATTATACACTGATGCATTTAAAGTGCAGTTTTTCAAGAGTTTGCAATAACAACTACTCCTGTGTTCAATGATGAAAACACTTTAACTCAGACTTGTATGTACAAATCTTAGTCTAGAACCAGGACTTCCTACCTCAACAGCACTGTGTTCCTCTGTCACACACACCTTAAAAGGAACAACAATTTCTACTAAGAAAATTAAGAATGTTCAACTGAGGAAGATACAGCCACTGCCCTAGGTTAATAGCATTCCTGGGAAGATCATGCTATCTGAGAATAACTTTCTCAGTTGGATCCATCACAAGTTGCTAAAGTATGGTATATTTGTAAACTCTCCACTTAAAAATCCCTTTAAAAGGCCAGGTGTCCCAGTATGTGCTTGTAATCCCCACCCACGGAGACAGAGGAAAGAGGACCAAGAGTTTTGAAGTCATCTAGGCTAGAGTCTGGACGACATCAGACCCTGTCTCAAAAAAAAAAAAAAAAAAGAAAAAGAAAAAGAAAGAAAAGAAAAGAAAAGAAAAGAAAAATCAGTCATACCCTGGAAGACTTTTGTTTTTGTTTCTTAAGCGAATTCATTGCCCTTTCCTTGTCACTTTTAAATACATGAGTGAGCTAGCTGGTCAGTCTATTAAGGATTGTTTGGTTCTGTTTGGTTTGGTTGGGGTTCTCCTAAAAGTCTACTCTGAGAGTTCCAGTAAATAACAGCTGTATTCAAAAATTCATGGATCCATGGAATTCGAAACTACTCTTGGAACACAAACACACACAGTATTCCACAATTAGGTAAATAAAAGTGCCAAATTATCCAGCTGCAGTCACCTTAGAGCTACATACCTTAGAAGATTCCCAGTTCTCACAGTATTGCCTGTTACCATGTGTGTCAATCTGATGAATAGTCACGAATCCTGGCCCATTGTTTTAACTCTCATTTCTTAAAGCACTATTGAACTCACACTTTATTCTCATGTCTTTTTTCACTTTGCCTGCTTATTTCACACTTTATTTGGGGTATGCTTCTCTAATATATTTTTTTCCTTTCCTTTTGTTTTGTTTTATTTGTTTTGAGACAAGGTTTCTATGGCTGTCCTGAAACTCAGATTCATCTGCCCAACTGCCTCTGCTAGAATTAGGCATGTGCCACCACAACCACCTTGTTTGGGTATATTTTCAAATGACTTTTATTAAGTTTTTAATTCTTTTTCATATGTATTACAAATCATAAATTCTTTTACCAAAATGTTGAGAAGGAAATGTCCTACGTTAGTGTATCTATTACTTCATGAATGTCATTGCATTGTTTTCAGTGTTCTGTATAAAGCTGATTTGCCCATAATTATTCTATCTGCTGTGCAAGCCATGATTCTTGGAAATGGATTTTCTCATTCTTTCTCTTTGTTCCTCGCCCTAACATTTTATGATTCTTTGAAAGTAGATAATAATAGTAAATATTGAGAAACATGAGCCAAATATGACCATGCATTTCCAAAATCAGAGCACTTGGGAGACTGAGGCAAGGGGATCTAAGATCAGAGGCCAGCCTGGGCTACAATGATGAGGACTGGGCCAGCATGGGCTGAAGGGAAGAGAGGAAAGGCAAGGAATATGCATTGGAGTCCTGTTTTCAGGGCTACTAATCCAGAACTGAGGTGATACAGCTCACGTTTGTGCTGTGCATTGCACATGATTTTTGTGTGCTGGTGGGCATCTGTGCACTGTGTGGAGATCAAATGTCAACCTCAGGTGTGGTTCCTCAAGACTCATCTACTTTAGTTTTGAGACAGGGTCTCTCATTGGCCTGGAACTCACTGACTAGGCTAGCTGGCTATTCAGCCCAAGGGATCCACCTGTCTATGCTTCCAAAGTGCTGAGATTACAGCCACCAGAGCCACGATATCCAGCATTTTCTTTCATCTGGGTTTCTGGGAATCTAACTCAGGCCCT